TGAGCCTCAGTTTTCTCATCTGTGGGAAAATTGTGAGGATCAAGTGAAATAACATACACAAAGCACCTAGAGCAGCAACTTACATGCTGTAGGTGCTTGGTAAATGTTGTGAGTCACAGGTGGGTGCAGTGAGGGATGTGGAGAAATAGAAAATACAATCCCACATCTTCAAGGAGGTTATAGTCTGGGTAGAGAGAGGCAGTAAGACAGGTAAACATAGATCACAGCATCAGGACCACATGTTCTGTAACACAGGTCAGCAGGTGTAATGGGCAGTGAGAGCTCTGGGAGTTCAGAGGTCAGAGAGCTGCCCTGTGGGCTAAGCTGGTTAGAGAAGGCTTCCTGAATAAGTGCCCCTTGTGAATGTGCAAAGGTTGGAGAGGAAGGTAGAGGGACATTCCAGGAAAGCATCTGAGATGAGACCAAGCTTCTTAAGTCCAGGGGATGGAGAAGAAACCAGTTGAATTGGAACCAATGGTTTGTGGGGGAGACTAGAGGGAGATGAGGTTCAGTAGGTAGGTTGGGGCTGTTGTGAGGGCTTTGAATGCCATGCTAAGGAGTTTGGGATTTATCTGAAGATTTTTGAGGAAGGAAATGACATTAATATTATGACCTTGATTCAGTCACTTATTCTTTTAACCTCCCTGGGCCTTAGATCCCTCATCTTTAAAGTAAGGAGTTTGGACCATGTGATTATAAAAGAATTTGTCTAGCTAAGGAGTCTGTGATTCTGTGATAGAGGAGATTATTTTGATGATAAAGTGCAGAATTGGTTGGAAGGGAGAAACTAGAGGCAGAAGGAGTATTTAGGAAGCCAGTGCAATGTCAGGCACGAATCTTCTTTCTGCCGCTTGTAAGAGACTCCGGGTGTGGGTAGGGAAGGTATTTCCTGTATGTTTTATGGACTTTGACGTTATAAGTCTATAACAATTTGAGTTCTACAAGGTGCCTGCCCAGGAGACACCTGCTCTTGGGGCACCTGGAGAAGAAGTGGGGAAACTGGTAAAGTCTTCTGGGAAAGGAGTGATTATTTGGTGCGCTTCAGGTGTGTATCATTCCTATTCTGCAGTAAACTGAGAAGAGCAAAAATAACAGGAATTCGTTATTGTTTGTCTTTAGATGTTGTGTAGAGTTTTCCAATTTATCAAAAAGTTTCATAAGCATTGTCTCATTTGCTTCTCACCAGTCTCCTGAGGGAGGTTAGGCAGGTGCTCCCTCCATTTTATGGATGAGGCGAGGCTGTAATTTCTCTGAGTCTCTAAGATCTAGGCCTCCTTATTTTCAGAGCAGTTAACTTTCTCTGCTTCATGTTCCTCAGACAACAAATAGGAACTCTCTTCTTCTATTAATTATGTACATATTTATTAAGTACCTAATATCCATCAAGTACTCCACTAATTTGAGGTCCACAGAAGACATATATTTAAGAAAATTTTTTTTCTGATTATAAAAGCCATACATACTTATTGCAGAGATTTTGTAAAGTAGAGGAAAAGATTCCTCTAATTGCACCACCTGGAGACATAGATAATTTTAGACTTCTTTTTTCTTTTTGCTGAGGGAGATTCGCCCTGAGCTAACATCTGTTGCCAATCTTCCTCTTTTTGCTTGAGGAGGATTTTCCTTGAGCTAACATCTGTGCCAATCTTCCTCTATTTTGTATGTGAGTCACTGCCACAGCATGGCTGATGAGTAGTGTAGGTCCACACCTGGGAACTGAACCTGGGCTGATGAAGTGGACCATGCTGAACTTAACCACTAGGCCATGGGGCCAGCCCCTGTTTAGACTTTTTTTTGGACTGTTTTTCTACTTATGAGATCATACTGTGTATATAACTTTGTATACTGATTTTTTTTGCTTAAGAATTTTTTCATATTATTAAAATTTTAACAAACATTTAGAAAGTGACTGTATAACATTATGTTAAAAGATAATTCATAACTTACCTAATAATTTCCCTATTATTGGACATCTGCGTTATTTCTAATTTTTTCCTCTTTTAAATTTTGGTATGATAAACATCTTTTTTGCATTAAGTGTGTATTGCATTTCTAGTTATTTCCTGCGCTATATTTCTGAACGTGAATAGATAATTTGGTCAAAGGAGTTACTTGGGCTCTTGGCAAATACTGCCAAATTATTTTCCTAAAACTTGTTAGAATTATCTATACTGCCATAGGCATTATTTAACTAGGGGTAAAGGGTTTTGAAATGGGAAAAGAACCTGTTTTCTATTGTTTTGTCAAGGGTGGACATGAGGAAGACCTTGGAAAGGTGGAACCTGCCATTGGAACCTGGCCCAGATGTTGCCCCTGGTGAAAAATGTTAAAATGCCCTACAGGATAGAACCATCTTGACAAAGATCAGGCTAAGATATATTTTCCAGAGAAGCTTCTATTTATTTATTTATTTTAAATAAAAGAAAAAAGGTGAGTTTCAGGCAGCAGAAGAAATTCCATGGTCTCGAAATTGGAGTGTTCTCTATATAGGGCAAAGGAGGCTGCTGCTGGGTTTAGTGAAAGGGAGTAAGAAGTAAGTCAGGCCAGCCCCTTGGGGAGCTGGTTAGAAGCATGAGGAGCCAGATCTGTTGTCTCATCAAGTTCAGACCTAGGCATGTGGTGTCCAGTGAGGATTCTGTGGTTAGGCTTCAGTTATCCATGGTTGAAAATTTCTTTTAAAAAAATTCTTTTGTATTTTTTCTTTTATTGTTCTTGTTAGTTGCTACCGGAAAATTAGTCAGTCTTGGCTGAACTAAGTGGAAAAGATTCATTCCAACCTAGCTAGCGTAACTAGGGTGGTTGGAAGAGCAACTCTAGAGAGCAGGTGGTGATGGCCATGGCTGTCCCATAGCCCTTTTTATAACTTTAATAGCACCTGTTGTGTTGTCATTATTCCTTGTTCTCTATCTGAGTATAAATTTAATTTTTCATGCCCCTCTGAAAACAATTTAAGGATAGAAACTGAATCTTCATTTCTCATTTTTAAAGTTTCCGGCAGGGGCCAGCCCTGCGACTGAGTGGTTAAGTTCATGCTCTGCTTTGGTGGCCTGGGGTTTCGCCAGTTCAGATCCTGGGCACGGACCTAGCACAGCTGATCAAGCCATGCTGTGGCAGTGTCCCATAGCAGAACCAGAAGGACCTACAAGTAGAATATACAACTATGTATTGGGGGCCTTTGGGGGAGAGTGGGAGCGGGGGGAGGAGGAGGAGAAGGAGGAGGAGAAGGAGAAGATAATGATTAGCAATAGATGTTAGCTCAGGGCCAATCTTAAAGAAAAAAAAAGAAAGAAAAAAATGTATCTGGCAAGATACTACTTACATTATAGATACCCAATGAAGATTTATTAAATTGAAGACTTGTCTCACACATGGATTCTGCTAAGTACTTGATACTTGTCATTCATTCATTCATTAACCCACTCCTTAGTAAGTATTTAGTTTCCTGAATGCCTGCTAGACACTAAGCATTATATTATGCATTGGGTATTACTAATGGGAATAAAGACTAAGGGTTTTAGTGACCCTTAAGAAGGTTGTTACAGAACAGAATGACAAGTGTTGTGATTGAGGGACAGATGGGTATTATAGGAGCACAGGGGAGGGTCTCCTAACTCATCCTGGGATGAGGGTGGAAGTGTTGAGACCAGTCTGAGAAGACTTTTTTCTTTTCTTTTCAAGAGATAAATTCTAAAGGAGGAGTAATAATTGAGGGAAGGGCCTTCCAGGCAGAGGCAATAACATGTGTAAAGTCAGTGATGGGAGGGATTACCTATATTCAGGGAACTGCAAGTAGTCAAGTATGTTGTAACAGAGAGTACAGAGGGATGGGGGTTAGAAATAAGCAGGAAACAGATTATGAAGACGCTGGCATGCTGGCGAAGATGTTTGGATTTTATCCTCAAGGTGATGGAGAGTGGCATCTAGATTTTAGGCAGGGAATTGACATGATCAAATATGTGTTTTAAGGAGTTCACTCTATTAAAGTGCAGAACAAATTGTATCAATGAGTAGGGGGAAGATGAGATAAAACTGGGGCAATTTAGTGAGGAAAACCCTAGGAATAGGATTGGATGAGTTAGCTGTGATTGCTGCTTCCTTGTTTCCTAGGATACTCCTTTCCATGTTTAAGGACCACGTCTCTAGTACTTGCCATAGAACCTGGTGAACAGGAGGCATTTAAGAAGTGCTTCTTAGATATCTCACTCCTCTTTGTACCTCCCACGTCTAACACAAGCCTGATACTTGGAGGTGGGTGGTACTGTTGGCTAGCTCTCCTGCTGTGGCTTGTGCTAGCAGGCACTGAGCACTGATGTGAAAGTAAGGTTGGTACCCTTTTTCCTGTGGTCACAAACCAGGCAAAATTGCTTACCAGGTTAGAACTGCCCTTGAAGATATCTTTTGCATGGCCTTCTCAAGACTTCTCCAAAGACATTCTCCATCTTATGACGAGTCTCTGTTCCCAAATAGAGAGTGGGTTCTTTTAGGACAGGAAACATATTTTTATTCATTTTTGTATTCCCAGGACTTTTCACAGTGCATGATACATAGTAGGTGATGCTAGATGTTTGTTTCTTGAATTTGAAATTGATTGTTTTGAACATGAAATATGTTTCATGAAATACAGTGTAAAGATTGATTAGGTACTGATTTCCCCTTAGAAACCTTTTAAATCTATATCCCAATGCGAGTAACTGGGCATATCTAAGGTCTGAGAAGGAGAGGAACTCCAGGAGATGGGAGAAGTTAGCAGAATGCGAAGCAAGTTACTTCTCAGAAATATTTAGCGGTGGAACTGAAACAATTTCAGGAAGGTTCTGGGCCACAGGTTGTAGGTTCTTAGAAAGTCCTATTAGGGAGATTGGGAAGCTCTGGGTTCCTTTTACCACCTACCATTATACAAAGGGCTTTCCTTACTCCTCTTGCACTTTAGACTGTAGTTGATAGAGATGACTCACCACGTTTTCCTGATTCTTTGTCTTTTTGTTTCTTTCCTTCATTAGGAATGTCCTCCTTCTTTATGCTATTATCATCATTCTTCAATTCCCTGCTGAAATGCTACACTCTTTCCAAGGAACCATGTGGAAGAAATAATCTCTCCCTACCCTGAACATCTCAACTTTTAGACCCTCTCATGGTACTTAATGCTAGCTACTGGAATTATATATGGGTTATCATGTATACGTACTTTAGCTATGTACATTCCATAGTACAGGGCCTTTAAGTGTTGAACGAACAATGTGGCTGAACTGTATTACTAACTTAGTGTGATGGTTGATTTTATGTGTCAACTTGATTGGGCCATAGGGTGCCCAGATATTTGGTCAAACTTTGTTCTGGGGGTTTTTGTGAGAGTGTTTTTGGATGAGATTAACATTTAAATCAGTAGACTGAGTGAAGCAGATTGTTCTTTGTAATGTGGGTGGACCTCATCCAATTTGTTGAAGGCTTGAACGGAGCAAGAATATTGACCTTCCTCTGAGTAAGAGAGGATTTCTCCTACTCACTGCCTTCCAGCTGGGACACCTACTTTTCCCTGCCTTCAGATTTTTGCCATTTTACAAGCCATCTATGTGTCTCAATGGGCTTTTGGGATACTATAGCTAAATCTAAACTCCAGCCAGCAGACACAGCCCTTATCCAGGCCTTAAGACTCTTTCTTAATAACAGCTTTGTTTAGCTATCATTCACATACCACACAATTCATCCATTTAAAATGTAAAATTCAATGGTTTTTAATATATTCACAGAATTGTATGACCATCACCACAATTAATTTTAGAACATTTTCATCACTCCAAGAAACCCCATGCCCATTAGCAATCACTCTTCATCACAGTCCCTCCCCTGCATCTCCTCCCTCCATCCCCTGGAAACTACTAATCTACTTTTTTGTGTCTATGAATTTGCCTGTTCTGGATATTTCAACTAAATGGAATCATACAATAATATGTGGTCTTGGTGACTGGCTTCTTTCACTTAGCATAATGTTTTCAAGATTCATCCATGTTGTTTCATGTATCAGTACAAGTTCTTGTCTGGAGGTACGTTTTCATTTCTCTTGAGTATATACCTGGGAGTGGAATTGCTGGGTCATATGGAGACCTTAGGATTCTTAAGTACAGTGGTTGCTTTAGAGAATAAGATCACAAACACGTATGCACTAATAACTCTAGCTCTTTAACTTGGTAATTAATGATAGGCAAGTTGTGCAGCTGGTTCTTTGAAGAATTGGCATGAATCAAATTTCTCTGTCTAACGTAAAGTAGCCAACGAATGTGTGAAGTCTAATTCTTCTCTGTAGGATGAAAAAGCCCTTTTTGGGTTTTAAATGGAAGTGGGAGAGTTTAGTGTCTGTTTCAGCCCATTTCCATTCCCACTCCACCCACCCCTGGATCGTACAGGGCTGGCTGACAATGAAGTTACCCAGGAAAGCTTCAATTGGAAAAGTTGGCCTGTTTGATGATTTGAGCCACATTAATTCACTCTTTCCATCTCTGTCTTTATGATAGGGATTTATTGTTCCTTTTGTATTACTCTTTTCTTTGGCTCTTCTTTTTCTCTTATCCACATGTCTCCGCCACCATATGCACTCATGTTTTTTTCCTGCTCTTCCCTTTCTGCTCAAACTCCTGGTCATATCAAACTGTTGCTAGGTCCTATGTAAGTTAAGACAATCAAGTTATGAGACTCATGGGAGTTATATGATTCCTTTTACAAGTATATCATATCCAGGTAAATATGGGCACCTAAAAAGTAGTTTCCTGGGTGGTTCTACATTTATTCCAAAAGTTCTGTCATTACTCAAAATAGTTGGGTCACTTACTGTGTAGAGTTGTTCTTAAAACCAGTCTGAGCCCAACAAGAAGACCAGTCACACTTCGTTACGATCACACTTAGTATTTCAGGGAGCCTGCCACTCTGCTTGTATTTATTTGTCTTCCTGTTCCAAGTTCCCCTTTTCCCTTCTTGCTGTAGTCCCCAAGCAAGAAGAGTTCTGGGTTCACATGTGGCTCCAAGTATGGGGCAAGATTGATGGTCATAGAGAGCCCAGCAATGAAGGGAGATCGGCATGCTCCACAGGACTTTGATTTTAAACAAACCCTGCTTAATTTGATCTTTTTACTGTGTCCTCTCCAGTGCCCCATTTCTGCCTTGTGATCTCCTCCCTCACCTTTTTTTACAGAAAAGAACTGTCAAATCCTATGATTGGGGACATAGCCTTGAACTGTCCACTTGTCAGAGGAAACTTGGGGAGATTAGGTAGGGAGAGGCACTTCAGAGGGCTCCATTTCCTTCTGTTCCTGGGGAGTTAGTTAATCTTCTACCAGCAATTTCCACTCTTGGGGAGATGAGGATCATGTCACACCCCCACATCACTGCTCAGGGCACAGGGCACTTTGTACAGAGAGCTGTGATTCAAGAGAGATCTGCACCTGATCCTGCTACTTCATCTTTAGAATCTAGCCATCTGTGGTCTTGTATATTCTCAGTTCTCAGGCTCTGGATCTTCATATTCTTTTCCTCTCTGAATCTCTGCTCTGGTGGAAAATGAGGATGTTTACTAGTAGGGGGAAAAAGAAACCCTGAAGTTTTTAAAGCAAAAATTAACATACAGGCCAGCCTGGTGGTGCAGTGGTTAAGTTCATGTGCTCCACTTTGGCAGCCCAGGTTTTGCTGGCTCAAAGCCTGGGTGCAAACCTACACACTGCTTATCAAGTCATACTGTGGCAGGCATCCCACATATAAAGCAGAGGAAGATAGGCATAGATGTTAGCTCAGGGCATGTCTTCCTCAGCAAAAGGAGGAGGATTGGTGGCGGATGTTAGCTCAAGGTTAATCTTCCTCAAAAAAAATCAAATTAGCATAAAGCTGGGCTATGAAGACCTATGCCTCTCAGATAGCCACATAGGGGATCAGCCCCACCTTCCAAAGCCTGAAACAATTGGGTACTCCCATGCCTGGGGCCAGCCCCACTCAGCTGTAATCCTGAGAGAGCTGACAACAGCCTTGCAGGCTGGAGGCCCACAGCAGTTATAAGCCCCTGAGCCAAGTAACCAACCATGCTAGGGCCTACTCACTTAGAAAAACTGCAGCAGGAATGTGCTATTAGACCTTGCAGCCAGCTGTGCTGGGGCTCCCCAAACCTGATAAACTTACTGAAGGGTCCATAGCTGCCACATGCAACTGAGCACTACAACCACCTGGTCAGAGGGACAGCCTAGACTCCCTGGGCACCTGCAGCAGGAGCAACCCTGCCACAACAGAAGGACACATGTAGTCCACACAGGGGTCACTCCTGGAACATTCGGAACTAGTGATGAGAGGGAAGCACACTGCTGGACCTCAAAAGGTGTCTCCTACATAAGACTACTTCTTCAAGATCAGGAGATGTGGCTGACCCACATAATACATAGATATAAGCACAGAGAAAGAGGCAAAATGAAGAGGCAAAGGAATATGTTCCAAGCAAGGGAACAAGACAAAGCCCCAGAAAAAGAACTAAATGAAACAGAAATAAACAATCTATGACAGAGAATTCAAGCAAAAAGTCATAAGGATGCTCACTGATCTTGGGAGAAGGATGGATGAACACAGTGAGAATGTCAACAAAGAAGTGGAAAATATAAAAAAGAACCAATAAGAAATGAAGAATGCAATACTGGAAGTGAAAAATTCGCTAGAGGGACTCAATAGCAGAGTAGATGATACAGAAGAACGGATCAGTGAGCTGGACGAAAGACTAGAGGAAATCACCCAAGCTGAACAGATAAAAGAAAAATGAATTAAAAAGAATAAGAACAGTCTAATGGAACTCTGGGACAACATCAAGCACACTAACATTTGTATTATAGGTGTCCCAGAAGGAGACAAGAGAGACAAAGGGGCAGAGAATCTGTTTGAAGAAATAATAGCTGAAAACGTTCCTAACCTAAGGAAGGAAACAGACCTCCAAATACAGGAAGCACAGAGAACACCAAACAAGATAAACTCAAAGAGACCCACACCAAGACACATTATAATTAAAATGTCCAAAATTAAAGATAAAGAGAGAATCCTAAAAGTTGCAAGAGAAAGGCAACAAGTGACATACAAAGGAAACCCTATAAGGCTATCAGCTGACTTCTCAGCAGAAACCTTACAAGATAGAAGGGAATGGCATGATATATTTAAAGTGCTGAAAAGAAAAGTCCTACAGCCAAGAATACTCTACCCAGCAAGGTTATCATTCAGAATGGAAGGAGAGATAAAGAGTTTCCCAGATAAGCAAAAATTGGAGGAGTTTATCACCAAGAAACCAGTTTTACAAGAAATGCTAAAGGGACTTATTTAAGTGAGAAAGAGAAGACCACAAATAGGAATAAGAAAATTATTTAAAAAAAAGGCAATAAAATCACTGGTAAAGGCAAAAATACAGTAAAGGTAGCAGATCAGCCACTTACGAAGCTAATATGAAAGTCAAAAGTACTAAAATTACTTATTTCAATGATAAGAGGGTAATGAATACACACACACAAAATAAGAAGTTAGATATGATATCAAAAACATAAAATGCGAGAGGAGGGGATTAAAAGAGTAGAGCTTTTAGAAAGAGGTCAAACTAACGAAAGCATCAACTCAATATAGATTGCTATATACCTAGAAGTCTTTGGGTGGTGAACATGATGTAATCTACACAGAAATCGAAATATATAACGATGTACACCTGAAATTTATATAATGTTATAAATCACTGTTACTGCAATAAAAAAAGAATCAAAAAAAAAAAAAAAAAGATGAAGAAAATGACCATTGTAGAAGTCAGGATGGCCAAAAGGAGGAAGCACCATGGGGAGGGAGCCCCAGTGGTCTTCTAGGGTGGAGTTCTGTTTCTTGACCTGGGTGCTGGTCCAATAAAGGTTTGCTTTATAATTGTTCATTAAAAAAAAAAAAAGCTGGGCTCCCTGCTCATCATGTCTCCCTCTCCTCCCCAGCAGTTTCTGAACCCCCCCAAACCCCAGCAAGATGCTAGCTGATTGTATAAATGTGTTACGGGATTTCCTCAAAGGTGCAGCTATGTTTGATGGCTTTATGTTCTGGCTACCATCTTATCTGCTTTTCTCTTTTCCAGAGGATTCTGCTTCTCGCAAATATCAGGCCAATGGTCTAGAAATTCAGCCTCCCTTCGTTCTTTGTTAATCTCAGAATAAGTGATGCAGAGGCTGTTTAGATAATATAGCTGTGGGGGGAGAGAGAATGGAGGCACTGGAACACCTGCCAGAGACGGGGCCAGAGAGCACCGTTAGTGAATGCACATCTCTGGAGCAGAATGAGAGAGGAGGTGGAAACAAGGAAGGAAGCTAACAGAAGCCATAGAATTGTAGGAATTTAGGGTATAGTCCATAAGGGAATCATGAGGGCGCTAGACAGAGGCTTTTGATGGTCCCTCCCCTGCTGCCTGAAAGAAGAGTTGCCTGATCAGTGCCTATTATGAGCATGGCCTTAGGCTAGGTTCTGGGGATACAGAGATAAGTAAGACACAGTCCCTACTTTACAAGTGTGCAGTCTGACAAAGAGAAGATAAGTGACTAATAGGAATTAGATGAGGTTTGCAAAATGTGTGGTATTGTGGGCTGGGATACTGCTGCCACTACTAACAGCTAACATTTATTGCTTACCCACTGTCTTTCTAAGTGTTTTACACCTGGATTAACTCTTTGACTCCTGTCAACACCCCGTGAATACGTATTGTTATAATCTGTGTTTTATAGGTAAAGAACCTGAGGCCCAAAGACATTGCAAATAGCTTGCCTGAAGTCTCACAGTGGGGATTCAGCAGCAGGAACTCCAGCACAGGTGGTCTGGCTCTGGAACACATGCTCTTAGGTAACATGGCCTCTTGTAAGTCATCCAGAGAGTATGCGGAAACTCTGTGGCTGCCCATCTGCATGACTTTGTACCACTGGGCTGCCCTTGTGCCTGAGATACTCTTCCTTAAAGATGCTGGTCAAGGGGGGATGCTCCTGTGACGTCTTCCGTGACTCTTTCTGCCTACCCTGGGGCAGTCACTGTCCTTGGAGCTTGACCAGAACTTTCTGTTTATTTTAACTATGTAGTATTCTATTTGTTGGAATATCTGACTCCTTGTGTTAGAAGCTTCTGGAGAGCAAGGACTTTTCCTGGGAAATTTCAAACACGTGCAAAAGTTCAGCTAATGATATAATCAATCTACATGTACTCATCCCATAGCTTCAACAATTATTTCATGGCCAATCTTATTTCATCTATACTTTCCTCTCCAAACCTGAGTATTTTGAAGCAAATCCCAGACATCAAATCATTTTATCTGTAAATATTTCAGTTGTATTACTAAAATATCAGGGCTCTTTAGAAAACATAACTGCAATACCACTATCACACTAAAATTTAATACTTCCTCAATCTATAAAATATTCAATGTTCAAATTTCTGCAATTATTTCATAATTTTTTACCTTCCCTTCCCATCTTTCTTTATTCCTTTCTTTTACAGTAGAGTTGTTTAAATAAAGATCCAAATAAGGACTTTATTTTTCAATCTGCATGTTCTCCTCAGCACGTGGCTTAGTGCTTGACATACAGTAAATCCTTAGTAAATGTGTGTTGAATGAATGAATCTTCAGGAATCCGTAAAATGTCCTGGTTGGATTGTGGAGCCTGTCATTTGTGGTTGGTTTCTTGGGATGGCTTTGGGTTTCTGACAACTTTAGTTAGGGATTAACGGGGATGCTGGCTACCATCAGTGCCTGTGATCATTACTAAAGGTTGGGGGGCAGTGAGTGTATCTGTGACTAAGACATTCACAGGCTAGAAGAATATGGGCCGTTGCTTTCTTGTCTCTGTTTTTTGTCCTTAGTCTCTTGTTATCTCAGTTTGAGTTTGGACTGGCCATGTTTGGCTTTTTTGCTATTTCTTTAGAACAGAACCCTGAAGGAATGACTTGAGGGCATGAACAGCTTCATATGGTGCTGTGGTAGGCAGAGTTCTGAGATAGTACCCCAAAATTTACCACTCATTCCAGACTCTGAATATGATGGGATATCATGCTTGTGATTGTGATACGTTATGTGGTAAAAGGGATTTTGTAGGGGCTGGCCCCGTGGCCGAGTGGTTAAGTTCGCACGCTCCGCTGCAGGCGGCCCAGTGTTTCGTTGGTTCGAATCCTGGGCGCGGACATGGCACTGCTCATCAGACCACGCTGAGGCAGCGTCCCACATGCCACAACTAGAAGGACCCACAATGAAGAATATACAACTATGTACGGGGGGCTTTGGGGAGAAAAAGGAAAAAATAAAATCTTTAAAAAAAAAAAAAAGGGATTTTGTATATGTAACTAGGGTTACTAAGCAGTTGACTTTGAGTTTAAGAAAAAGAGAGATTATCTGAGTGCAATTAGTCTAATCATACAGGCCATTTAAAATCAGACAGCATGGGGCTGGCCTGGTGGGGCAGCAGGTAAGTTCGCATGTTCCGCTTCGGCAGCCTGGGGTTCGCCGGTTTGGATCCTGGGTGCGGACATGGTAATGCTTGGCAAGCCATGCTGTGGTGGGCGTCCCACATACAAAGTATAGGAAGATGGACATGGATGTTAGCTCAGGGCCATTCTTCCTCAGCAAAAAGAGGAGGACTTGGCAGCAGATGTTAGCTCAGGGCTAATCTTCCTCAAAAAAAAAAAAAAAAAATCAGACAGTATTTTCCAACTCGTTTCAGAAAGGAAATCTGAGAGATTAGAAGTGTAAGAGAGAATTCAATTTAAGGGATGTTCTCCATTGCTGAGATGGTGTGGGCCTTGTGGCTAGGACCTAAGAGCAACCACTAGTAGCTGAGAGTCGTCCCTAGAAGGACGATGGGGACCTCAGTCTTATAACTTCAAGGAACTGAATTCTCTGAGCTAGTAAATGGATGTTTTGTACCTGATAGATTGAATTAGCTGCTCCTTTGTTTATTTTACTTTAAAAACTTGAAATAAAATTAAAATACATTGAACTGCATACAGGTCTTAAGTTTACAATTTGGTTTTTGGTAAATGTGTATGCCCATGTAATCACCACCTGCACTGAGATGTAGAACATTTCCATCAGTCCAAAAAGCTCCCTTGTGCACCTTTGTAGTTAATGCCACCCCCTATGGTGAGTTCTAACACCATTAATTACTATTGCCTATTCTTGAACTTCATTTAAATGGCATCATATCATATGTGCTCCTTTGTGTCTGGCTTCTTTTGCACAGCGTAGTGTTTTGGAGATTAATTATGTTATTTTAGCAGAAGGTTGTGCCTTTTTATTGCTAATTAGTATTCCATTTTATGGATATAACACTATCTATTTATCCATTCACATGTTGAGGGATATTTGGGTTGTTTCCCATTTTTTAATACTGTGAGTAATGTTACTGTGAACATTCGTGTATAACTCTTTGTGTGGATATCTGTTTTCATTTCTCTTGGATAAATACCTAGGAGTGGGATTGCTGCACTGTATAAGTGTATTTAACTTTATATTAAAGTGACAAAGTCTTTTCCAGAGAGGTTGTGCCATTTTATATTTCCATCAGCAATATGTAAGAATACCAGTTGTTTCCCATCCTCACAATACTTGGTATTTTAAAGTTAAGCTATTTGCCAATAATTCCTTTTTGAGTACTTCTCTGTGCCTTGCAGAATACATTATTCATCTCATGCCCACCTCATAGAATGTTCCCCAACTCCCAAGTTTTTCAATCCTACCTGTTTCAGGTCAGTGTTTCCTAACATGAAATATATGTGAGAATCACCTGGGAGATTTTCAAAATTTACAAGCCCAAGTCTCATTCCAGACATACTGTATCACCTTCTTCAGGCATGGTTTGTAGGTTTATTAAGTATGTTGAAAAAGTTCTCTAGGTAATTCTGATTCACACTCCTAGCTAAAAACCACTGCTTGTAGGCTCAAGTCACACATATTATAGCAGAGGTTCTCCATCTTGGCCACATGTTAAAAGTATCTGGGATGCTTTAAAAAATTACTGTTGCCTGGGTTCCACCCCACACCAGTTAAATCAGGATTTGTGGATGGGGACTGAGTATCAGTTGTTTTTAAAATTTTACCAGTCCTTCTAATGTGTAGCCATATTTCCCATTGGGTTTCTCTGTCTTCCCTTGTGGCATTTATCTCTTTCTATCTTTGTATTATAATAATTTTTCATGCCTTACCTCCTGTCTTAGGCTTTATGTTCCCTGGGATAGGAACCCTGCCTTTCTCATTTCTGTATCTTTTATGGAGTCTAACACTGACACTCGAGGCACAGTAGGTCCTTAACAGGATTTCGTGAACACAGGAACTGATCATCAGGAAAAGATTCTCAATCACAGGTAGGTTGTGTTCTGTGTCTCAGGTTCACATGTTAATGCTACAGGGTCCTTGTCCTCCTGGGGGTTGGAGTTGTTGCTTGTGATGACTTGTGTGGGTAACTCCTCTGTGAGAGAACGGGGAGAACATTGCCCTGTTTGGTGTTTGTTTTCAGGGATATCACAGGGACTAAGAATTACATGTGTATATGAGGTGGAGGGGCAGGGATGAGTAAGGAGATAGAGCTAATTAGAATGGAGGAATTATACTAGAGAGTAGTGGTAAAGAAAGTAAGAAATGTTAGTAAAGAGGAAAAGTTTTGAACTTATCTGGTTGGCCAGGGTAGGCAACTATAGATTTTTAAGTAGGAGAGTGAACCAGTTTTTAGGAAGGTAATGAGGCAGCAGTATGCAAGGAAGACATCAGTAGAGAAACAGAGACAAGAAGTCAAGTTGTACTTCTAGCAGCAGAGTTGTTGAGGGCCTGGGTTATTAAGGTTTATGGGAATGGAGAGAACAACACAAGTGAGAGATTTTGAAAAAGAATCAACAAGATTTGATGATGTATTGAATCTGGGAAACAAAAGAGCAAGGGCTGAGGGCGTTTGGATGTGAGTGTCATGAGTTCTGGGAAGTAGTAGGGGCTAAAGATAGAGATGCAGGAGGCACCTGCAGAGAGGTCATTGAACTGTGGAAACAGAGTGATGGAGGGAGACAAGCAGGGTCCTAGAACTAAATCTGGTGTGGGGGTGCGGTGCATCAGCTGTGGATGGGAGGAGGAGGGCATCCAAGAAGGAAAAAGTTGTCTATGGTCCTAGATCTTGTAAAAGAGAACAAGTGAGGACCGTGAAAATATCTTTGAATTTCACCAAGAGATGGATACTGATTTTATGCTGCTTCTAGCAGTCTTGGGTCTGGAGGCACTCCAGCAGAGGCCCAGGAGAAATGAGGTGATGAGGAAGGGGAAAGACAGCACATATGTTTCAATTTCTTGGAAGTAAAGGAAATGAGATAATAGGTTAATGCTTAGTGGAATTAATAAATGAAGTTTATTCATGTCAGAAGAGATCTGACCCTCTGAAGGAACTGGGAACAAGGAAGATAGATGGTGCTAGAGTGGTTTTTATATGACTGAACCTGTGGAGACTCTCATGCATGAAAGCTGTAATACTGCATTTGATTCACTGGAGCCACCTGTGTGGGAAGGTTATTTGTCCCTGAGGAAGAGGCTGGTTGAAATCTTCCTCATGAAATTATCTTTCTGGGAGAAAAATAGGCATTTTCTTTCAGGCAGGTTGGAGCTGTGGCCTGTTCGTTCTAGATAGACCTACTTTGTTAGCAGGTGTGCAAGTAATTTAGGTAATTTATTTAGGTAATTCTCTGATCACTAGATCAAATATCTGTAGACTTAGAAATAGGCTTACTCTGATGCCCAGTTAAGTCATTTCTTTTGCTTCTGACTGTAAAAAAGTCATTGTCTAAAGCAGTATCAACTGTGAGGCAGCGTGTTGATGTCTGATAAATAATTTTTATTATAAATATAGAGCACATTTACAAATAATTCCAAAGTGGCCTTAGCTAAACAAAATTAAATAACACAGAATAACGTGGATGAGGGGAAGTCTATACAGTGTGTGTCAGGGATATAAAACCCTGAAAGAGGTACCTGAGCACAGAGAACTCCTAACTTTGAGGGGTCTCTTAGACACAGCATGACATCAAGTAATTAGTATTGAATAAAACCTTCCTCTCAACAGCCCCAAAGAGATTCCATCTGTGTAGAAGGAGGCTGGGTGGGAAGTGCACTTGCCCCTCCTTCTCTTGCCTTCCTTTTATCCTAAGACACATTGGGACTCATAGACCTCATGAGATGAAAGAAATTTCAGAGGCTGTTCAAGATGCCTAAGATCCTGTTATAATATTCCCCTTCTGTCCTAAGGGCATCAGCACCAGTTCAGCTTTCTAGGTTATAAACAATACCAGTGGCGTGAGTGATAATGTCCCCTTCAAGGTGCTCCCACTTCTCAAGGACCAAATGCACCTTGGCAGGGGTCGAGGTTTCCTGAGAAAAGGAGTGGGGCAGACAGACAGGACATGCACAGGCAGACACATGGGGTACAATGGAGGCTGGTGGTTGGCCTGAGATGCCTGGAAACTGAGTTAGATCCATTTCTAGCCATGAATGAAGAAAACAGCTTCTTCTTTTCTGTTTGGAGCCCCTAACATAAAAGCCTTGAGGAGCTCCTGGTCAAGGGGACTTGAGGGGTTTTGGTGGCTTCTTTAACCTAAGGCAGTCAGGTTGGCTTACACAGCTAAGCTAAGTAAAAATAACCCCCTCACATAAATAAGCAGTTACAAAAATTAAAATGGCAGATTGTCTCAGAGAACAGGGAAAAACCCACTACCTCAAATTGTGCATTCTTTAACAATCACTTAAATAATATTTGAAGGGTAGCTCTGTGATTTCTTTCCCAAATTCTCAGCAGATTGTCTCTGGTAACACTTGCCTCCTCCCTAAAGTTGTAACCCCTCCTTCTGTGGGCGTTTACTTGAATAAAGCTCTTAAAGTGATTAAAACGTGTGTCCCTTTTTTTTTGCATTTTCCATTAAGACTTGCCTATGGACCTTGGCAAATAGTTTTCCTAGTTGCTTCTAGTGAGTTCTCTGAAGACAGGCTTGCCAAAGGGTCAGGTGGTATTCCAGCCAATCAGCAAGGTGCTTAGGCCCTGGCCCTACACGTAGACACCCTTGCAGTGGACAAAGGTGTAGAATTTCCCAGTTCAGAACTGGTTATATATTTGCTTTCCTGTGTCTGGTGGGTTCAACCTGGGCTTTAGAGGGATAGAAGAAGCTTTTCCTTTTCCTTTTCCTCTGTTCTTTTCAGGCACGTGCATTTCAGCAGACAAGGACATATCTCTCAAGGTTATGGCAAATTCAAGTTAGACTCGGATAAGACAGGACTAAGGTAGGAAGGTGAGTGTGCTCTGAATGGGCAGGTTTAAAACAAGTCTAGGTCAGGAGAGGGGGAGGGGTGGGAGGTTCTGGCAACTCTTTCCTAAGGTCTGCTTTGCCAAATTTCAAAGACTAGGAAGGTTGGGTTTCCTACAGACTCCTGGCTGTACCTTTTCATGTATTGTCACTGAAGGGAGGGGCTGTGACTGGGCAGCCTGGAGGTGACTCATTTGGAAGTTGAGGGGGGGAAGAGGCTTCTTTCTCTTTTCCTTGAGGGTAAAGGGATCCTTCCAGTGATGAGGATGAGAAGCTTGGAGTAAGCCAGCAGTGCAGCGAACAGGGCAGGTTGCAGTACTTCTGTTTTGCTTCTGAATAAACTGTTTCTGTGGCTGGTGGGGGTGGGGAGGCTGAAGTTGGTTTCTTTGATCCCCGGACATTGAAGTTCAGGGAAGAACTACATCCATCTGAAAGGCATGAGCATCGATCAGTTAAATCAGTGTCATAGGTCAGGCCCTCACCTGGTCTAGTGTGAATCCAGTACCATGTGCTATCACCACTTTGAAATTTTTAGCTTTGGAAAGGGCTTTTATCACCCATGATTTCTGCTTGCTAACATCCTCTGAATGATCATTGGAAGAGAGAGATTGTGGTATTCGCATGCCCATTTACAGATGACAAAGCTGAGGATCAGAAAGGTTAAGCTACTTGTCCAAGATCACAGAGCTACTAAGAGTCTCAGCCAGGATTCAAACACAGCATGGGGATAATTCCAAAGTCCACTTGCTTGCAATGAGGTAGACTCATGGGAGTCATTACCGACACTTCTTTCTTTGCTGCTCTATCGAGGAACTTTGACCCAAACCTGGTCTCACGTTGGTGTCTTCAAGAATAACCCATTCTATACAGAGATATTTCCATGAGAAAGTGAACCAGTGAAATTGTCTGTGCTTACCTTGTTAGAGGAGTTGTCGGAGTGGCCCTGACCTGGGGAAGCAAAAGAAGAGTTATCAACCCATGGAAATGCAAAGCTGACTTATGGCCTTAGAACGATAGTGTTCCTAAGCTGTTGTGATTTCTAGTTGAAGGAGGTGGCAGGTGGTGGAAAGGTAAAGTGGGGAGGTGGCCCATGATCACTTAAGGAGTTGACTTCCCCCAGAGGGTGTGGTCTAAATCCAGGGCATTAGTACCAGAGGAGGGGCAGGAGTAGAGCTAGAGTAGGGCTCAGTCCACTTCTGAAGATTTCCAGGCCACAATGCCTTGATTTTTTCCTTGATGTGTTTCTCAGAAACAGTCTTCAGTGTCAAGGAGGGTCATTGAGGCCCACAGCACCCAGAGCACCACAAGACAGGGAAAGTCTCACCAAAGGACAATGCCTCCATCTGTGAAGAGGCAGGAGGCAGAAGGAGGAAGGATGAGAAAATGACTCCTGGGAACATGTGCATCCTACTCAGGCCTGCCTGGCCTAGGCAGAGTGAGTATCTCTCCTGGAGCTATGTGTCAGGGGAATATGTTATGGCTAGGAAGGGTGTGAGGACCTATGCCAACTTAAGGTTGTGAAGTGGAGATCCCCTCAAAAGTCGGAATGTAAGGAGTGGTTTAGGGATCCAGGATTCCCTGCTGGGGCAGGGCATGTGGTGAAACATACCAGCTCTCACTGGGTGAATGGCTTTACTTATTGTGCTTGGAGGCTGAGGGTTTGTCCTCTGTGAGATCACGCTGGTAACTTGCCCTGAATAAATATTAGACACCATGACTGCTTTTTCCAGGCATAGGATCTTTCTTCTTTGAATGAGGAAGGACACTGTCAGCAGATAATTCCTGGGGACTCCTCAATGTTCATTTATACCATGGTGGGTACTGCCTTTCCACTCAGGGCCTCCTTCCTCAGTCTACCCATGATTCCACCTAGTGTTTACTCCTTTCCTGTTTGCTGGATGTGCACATTTAGGTCCATTCTTCATCAACTGCTTCTGAGCCTATTTCTACCCTGACACCTTTCTCCTTTCATAAGTAGATGCTGTTTTTTTTCTCACTTTATTTATTGCATAAGAGGCCTTTGGTTGTTTCTGCTTTTTCTTAGGTTCTCTTCCTGTTTTTAACTGTCTCTCCTGCTGCTATGGTCCCCAGAGCACATGACTCGCTTTCTCCTGCCCCTCCTTTAATTTCCTAATTTGTTTTCCTTCTTGGACCTTGGCTTCCCTGACTTGGAGCAGAGCAACATAATTGGATCTGCCCCCTCTAAACCAGATGGGGACTAGTATAGTCATGTCCAACAGACAGCGGGGTATAGGAAGCATGAAGACCAGGGAAGAAGAGAGCTGCAGGAATTAGTGCTGAGAAGCAGAAATTTAGGAAAGAGGAGGAGCAGATGCAGGCCCAGAGAGAAAGTTGAAGTCTCCTTCTCCCTCCCAATCATGGTGGCTCACCTTTGAGAAAGCAAAACACTAAAAAGGGCCATAATACTCTCGAGTCTTTCTCATACACAGGCAGTACACCAGGACCGCTATCAGAGCTACCACAGCTGGGACTCCAACCATGATGCCACCAATGACCCCACCTGAGAGGCCAGCAGAATTTCTTTGTGTTGGATCATCTGTCATGGAAAGAAAAGAGAAGAATGGGTGAAGCTGACATTATTTTACAGTGGGCATGTGCTGGGAAACATCTCTCAACATGGAGTAGTCTCTGCTTGTTCCTTCAAGGAATACATTTTCTGTGGGAAGGTTGCTGTGAGGTGATTAGCCAGCTATGTCCCTGCAAATTTTTTCTCTCACTGTATTTCTAAGTTGGTGGTCAGACTTGCCTCAATTCCCTCCTGGCCCTTCTGCACTCAGATATTTTTGAAGGCTCTGGATATGTGAGAAAGGCTGATGGCTCTTTTTGTATATTACAACTTCCCACCTTTTCATGGTTGCATCTTTCTCTGTGTACCAGGTGTGGCAGCCATGAATTTGTCCCTCTCAGGTCTCTTGTGGTGGGGACTTAATTGACAGAAGGCCTGGGCTAGTACACTCTGAATTCATCATCTCTGTTCACCATCACCATTCAATGCACAGTGACCACCCTTCCCACAGGCTCCAGGCCAGGGTATGAAAGCAATCTCAGTTGTGTGAAAAATGATTTTCCCCTGATGGGTGACTTTAGCTCAAGGACTCCCTGTCAGACTTCTAGACACTCTCTTAGAACTGCACTGCAAGCTAAAGCTTCCTTCCTTCTCTTTCTCCTTCACAGAGATCATGCTTTGTGGTCTGAGGAATCTCCTAGGATCCTCCTACTACTGCTCTATTTTCCTTTACAGGCATTTTCACCAATAAAGGTCTTGTATGTCTCATCCTATCTTGGCTATAATTCAGGATGAAAACTTTACACTCAACTTTTTTTCTCTCCTACATTTAGTCAGTAATCATGTCCCAGTGGTTTTTTGTGTTATACCTCCACTCCCCTCAGTATATATTTCCTTTCGCATGTATTTCTTCTTTTTCGTTTCTGTTGCCGCCTACCATTCAGCTCAAGACTGATGAATAATGCTAATGTTAGCAATTATTATGAGGTTCTGTGCCAGGCTCTACGCTATATAATTTACATATATCTCATTTGATTCATGTAATAAAGCTATCACATAGACATTATTTCCATTTTACAGATGAAAAAACCAGAGTTACAGTGGTGTAAAAACTTATCCAAAGTCATATTTCTAGTAAAAGGTGGATCTAGAATCAGGTAGTCCTTGACTCTAGGACTTCCTGATGTCATAGGAAGTAATGATAATAGTAGTAATAATAGCAGCTAACACTTATGAAACATCCTCTGCATGTGGCATTTTGAGGAAGGTTTAACTGAATATTACATTAAATCTTTAAAACAATACCGTGAAACAGGTACAATAATCCCTCAGTATCCATGGGGGACTGATTCCTGGATTCCACCCTCTGCCCCACCGTGGATACCAAAATCTGTGGATGCTCAGATTCCTTTTATAAAATGGCGTAGTATTTGAGTATAACCTATGCACATCCTCCCAAATACTTTAAATCATCTCTAGATCACTTGTAATACCTCATATAATATAAATACTAGGTAAATAGTTCTTATACTGTATTATTTAGAGAATAATGACAAGAAATAAAAGTCTGCATATGTTCAGTATAGATGCAACTATAGTAAGCCTTTTGATCCTCAGTTGGTTGAATCTGTGGATACAGAACTGTGGATGTGGAGGGCCGACTGTACTCTTATTGCAATTTTCAGTTGAACACTAAGTCTCAGAGAAGTTAAGAATCTTGTGCAAGAAATTTATAATTGTAAATGCTTACACTAAAAAAGAGGAAAGATCTCAAATTAACAACCTAACTTTACAACTTAAGGAACTAGAAAAGAAGAACAAACTAAGCCAAAAGCTAGCTGAAGGAAGGAAATAATAAAGATTAGAGTGGAGATAAATAAAGTAGAGAATGGAAAAACAATAGAGAAAATCAATAAAACCAAAAAAACTTTTTTGATTTTTCAAAAAAAATGAACAAAATTGACAAACCTATAACTAGATTAAGAAAATGAGAGACGATTCAAATTACTAACATCGGGAATGAAAGTGGAGTCATTACTACCAATTCTACAGAAAAATAAGAATTTCAAGAGTACTATGAATAATTGTATGCCAGCAAGTTGGACAACCTAGATAAATGGACAAATTCTATGAAACTCAAAACCTATAAAGATAGAATCATAAGGACATAAAAAATATGAATAGACCTATAATTTGTGAGGAGAGTGAATCAATAAAAGCATTTGACAAAATTCAACATTCTTTCATGAAAAAAACACTCAAACTAGGAATAGAAGGAAACTAAGCCAGCATAATACAAACTGTGTATAAGAAACCCACAGCTAATATCATACTCGATGGTGAAAGACTTTTAAGTTTTTGCTAAGATCAGGAACAAGTCATGAATGCCTGCTTTGGCCACTTCTATTCAAAATAGTATTGGAAGCACTGGCCAAGAAAAAGAAAGAAAAGACAACAAAATCGGAAAGGAGATGTAAAATTATCTCTGTTTGCAGATGGTATGAGCTTATATGTAGAAAATCCTAAAGATCCTACAAAAAATTTTAGAAGTAACAAACAAATTCAGCAAAGCTCCAGGATACTAATCAACATGTAAAAATCAGTTGTGTTTCTATACACGAACAATGAACAATTTGAAAAGGAAATTAAGAAAATCTTATTTACAATAGCATCAAAAGGAATAAACAATTAGGAGTCAACTTAACCAGGGAGGTGAAAGATTTAAAAACTGAAAAATTACAAAAACACTGCTGAAAGCAGTAAAAGAAGGCAAAAATAAATGGAAAGGCATTCCATGTTTGTGGATTGGAAGGTTTAATAATGTTAGGATGACAATACTACCCAAAGTGATCACACTCAGTGCAATCGCTATCAAAATCCCAATGACATTTTTTAGCAGGAAAAGAAAGATGCATCCTAAAATTCACGTGGAATTTCAAGAGACTCTGAATAGCCAAAACAATCTGGAAAAAGAAGAAGTTGGAGGACACACTTCTCCTGATTCCAGAAATTACTACAAAGCTACAGTAATCAAAAGTGTGGTACTAGCATAAAGACAGACATATAGACCAATGGAATAGAAAATCTAGAAATAAATCCTTCAAAATATGGTAAGATGATTTTTGACAAGGTTATGAAGACCATTCAATGGAGAAAGGACTATGTTTAAAACAAATGAATTGGGAAAACTTTATATCCAGGCAAAAGAATGAGGTTGAACTCTTATCTAACACCATATACAAAAAATTAACTCACAATGGATCAAAGACCTAAATGTGAGAGCTAAAACTACAAAACCTTTAGAATAAAACATAGAGTGAAAGCTTCATGACATTCAATTTGGCAGTGATTTCTTGGATAAGAAACTAAAAGCACAGGCAACAAAGAAAAAATAGATAAATTGGACTTCATCAAAATTAAAAACTTTTGTGCAGCAAAGAACATTTTCAAGAAAGTGAAAAGACAACCAACAGAATGGGAGAAATAATTTGCAAATCGTATATCTGACAAGAATTAACATGCAAAATATATAAAGAACTATTACAACTCAACAAAACAACAAAAAACAACCCAGTTTAAAAATGGGCAAAGGAACTGAATAGACGTTTCTCCAAAGAAGATATACAAATGGCCAATAAGCACTTGAAAAGATGCTCCATATCACTAATCATTAGGGAAATGCAAATCAAAACCACAGTGAGATTCCACCTTATACCCATTAGGATGGCTATTATTAAAAATCCCCCAAAAGAAAACATGACAGCAAGGATGTGAAAAATTGGAACTTCTGCACTGCTAGTGGGAATGCAATACGGTGTAGCCAGGGTGGAAAATGGTACGGCAGTTCATCCGAAAATTGAGCAAAGAATTGACATTTGATCCAGCAATTCCACTTCTGGTATATACGCAAAAGAATTGAAAGTAAGGATTTGAACAGATATTTGAACACCCATGGTCATAGCAGCATTATTAGCAACAATCAAAAGGTGGAAACAAAGCAGAAGTTCACAGATGGATGAAAGATTAACAAAATGTGACATGTACATGCAAGGGAATATTTTTCAGCCTTAAAAAGGAGTAAAATTCTGATATATGCTACAATATGTATGGGACACTGATGACATTATGCTAAGTGACAAAAGCCAGACGTGAAAGGACAAATACTGTATGATTCCACTTATAAAAAGTACCAAGAGTAGTCAAATTCATGGAGACAGAAAGTAGAATGATGGTTGCTAGGAATTGGGGTGGGGAAGTGGGGAGTTATTGTTTAAAGGGTACAGAGTTTTACTACAATAAGACGGAAAATTTCTACATGGATAGTGGTAATGCTGGCACAACAATATAAATGTATTTAATGCCACTGAGCTGTACACTTAAAGATGGTTAAAATGGTAAATCATGTGAACATTTTACCACAAAATATTTTACCATGAATAAATGGTAACAGAAACAAAAAGAATCAGGTGAAATGTCACACAGTACATGCCAGACCCATGATAAGAAACTTAGTATATTTGATTCAGAGACTGAGCTCTTAACTACTTTGCTGTTTTGTTTACTGCAATGGTCTCTTGATTGATATTCTGCCCCCTGTGACTTCTATCCATTTCGCACAACATTGGTGGAATCATCTTGCCAGGAAGATGCAGGATGGGGCAAGTGGTCACTTACATTTCACATTGTCTGAGGATGTTCCTTTTTCTGGAACTGACCAAGTTGGACACCTCACACTGGTAATCCCTGGCATCCTCCCTCCAGATGGGAGAGGGCTGCCCCTCCTCTCCGACCCCCAGATCACCCCAGGATGACCCTAGCTTGTTTCCCGTGGACATCTCCAAAGTATCAGCACCAGGAACCTCTTCTCAGCCCACGTATCCAGCCTCCTCATCAGCAGGTGGAATTTTTCTCCTGTTGGTTTTTTTGTGACCCTTTGCTAGATAGTTCTGTGACTTTATGAGTGATCAGGCTTGCTCTTTAGTATGGTAACTTTAAATAGAGAAGTGAAGGCATTTTTTTGTTAAATAATTTATTAGATAAGGAGCATGGCCCAGCCAGTCCTCATGACCTTAGGACCTGGAGAAGTTCCATTCTAAAGGATTTCACTGCCTGAATAGAACTTTTAGCTCCTGGCCTGTGGATTAAATATCAGAGAGAAGGAAATCTCTAGAAAGAAGTGGTCACAGTTTTAACAAAAAGGTGGTACTCTTAGCTCTCTGTATAAACTATAAACTTTTTGGCTCTGCTCCTTCCATCCCATGAAAGGACTTCATGGAAGAACCAACCTATTTTTCCAAGTGTGCACCATCATTCACTGTTCTCCTTTGGTATATGTAAGTGTTGGTGTCATATAGTGTCATACAGCTGTTGACCTCAGAGCGAGGACACAGCTCAGAGGAGTCTTCACTGAGGCTCTCTCTTTTCCCATTTGTCTGCATCCTGGCCTGAGAAAGGATCTGGTATCAATGGGTGGCACAATTTGGCCAGTTTGGTGAGAGACCCCCCATGTACCTCCTCTACATGGCCCTGTCCCACCACAGATGGCATCAGAGCAGAGCCAGTCATAAGGCGAGCCAAGAGCAGGAGGGCCTTTTTCTTTCTCCCTCTGTGAAGCCACCTCCACTATGTGGGGCTTTCTGGGGCTGAGAGAACCCTCTCCCCACATTCCAGGCTAGACACACATCTGCCCTGGGAAATCAGAGGATGGCAAAGAAGGGTCTGCAGAGATGAAGTGGGAGGGTTCAGGGAGAGATTGGGGGTTTTCTTGTGTCCACGGACACAGGATGGGAAATAACTCCCTAGAGGCTCTTTTCTGAAGTCCAGACAGAACTCCACCCCAGACCCCAGGGCTGATGGGCCAGGGAGTCACTTAACAGAGACTGTAATAGTCTTGACTGTGGTCTTATTGAGACTAGTGACAGAGTTATGGACGAGGCAGGTATAGGATCCACTGTCATTTGCAGTGATGTTGGGGATAAAGAGCTCCTGTGTGGATTGCTGGAGCATCTCATCAATAAGCCAAGAATACTGTGTGGGCAGGTTAGAGGTGTATGGTAAGAGAGACTGAAGTTTGCCCCTGGATGGTAATAAGAGTCTGAGGGCAAAATGGTTGGGGCATCTGTAGCAAAGATAATAAAGCCGCATGTGATGTAATCAGAGGGAGGGGCATGCTCCTGATCTGAACAAGTGCCATAGTATCTTCTGAGCCAGGTCACAACCTTGATTTAAAAACTCCCAACCATGACCCCTCTGTGTTCACTCATCCTGAGTCTGAGACATTAACCTGTTTCTTCTACCCATCCTAGTCTTGGCTCAAGGCTGGGCATGCCGAGATTTGCCTCATACGGGAATTCATGGCCAGCCTGGTGTCCAGGGTTGTGGGTCTGTTTATTTGAACCTGAGAGGGACGGATGTAGCTTGGCCTCTGGCAGTGTGGATTTGGGCAGACAGCCTGGGTCAGGTAGGGACATAAGTTACTCACAGAGAACATTGAGGTAGAATGGGTCACTGCGACGAGCACTCACTGGGTTCCGGGTTTCACACTCATAGGGTCCTGTGTCATTCATTGTGACACGGAGTAAAGTGAGAGTCCTGTTGTCCGAGGATAGCTCCAGCCAGGCGCTGTCCGGGAGGCTCTGATTGTTGATCGACCACAGGTAGGTGGTGTTCTGAGTCTCAGGTTCACATGTTAACACTACAGGGTCCTTGTGCTCCACGGGGTTGGAGTTGTTGCATGTGATGTTGGGTTTGGTTAACTCCGCTGCACAGATAACAGAGAGAATATTACCCTGTGTGGCACCTTTGATTCCTCCAAAGGCATCTTCAGTAAGAGTTGGCATCTCTCACCTCTCAGCCAACCTGTGACCTGGAGGTCAGCTCAGCACTCAGGCTGCAGGGCCATGAAGTGGGACAGGCCTGCCTGGGTGCTCCATGGTGACTGGCATGAGACAGTGACTCCATAAAGGGTAGAGCAGAGTGAGGACTAGAAATGATCCAGAAAAGAATGATGGGGACAGACAGGAGCTGGCTGGCTTTGGCAGCAGAGCCATCTGCTCTGCCCTTGGTCTTTAAAGTCTTTTCTCCAACAGCAGAGGGCAGTGAGGACCATGTTGATCTTTCCTGAAATACAAGTGGATATTTTCAAATGCAGAAGGGGTGACAGATAGAAAGTGAGTGGAGGGAATCTAGCCCTCATGGAACACTTGTAAACACAGTTATGGGACAGAAATCTGAGGAGAAGTAAAACTGTTTCTATATTGAAAATTAATATTAATTCCCCAAAGAACTAAGACCAGTTTCTGGAGGAATATCTCTAGAGAGCACTAAAGATCATAGAACAAGTTCTGGGGTCCACCCAGGGTCACATTTTGATCAAAGGAAGATGCTAAAGTGGATTTGAAATCAATCAGTGGCTCTCTGGATAGAGAGAGCCTGGCAAGTCTTGTTACGAGGACAGAATTGATTGGGGGCAGGTCTGACAAGTCAATGTTATATAAAGCAAGGAATGCTACCAAATTAGTTGAAATGATATGTGTTATGTTAGTAAATTTAGGAAAGAGGTCCCCGTCATCCATTTATGTGGACAGTCAGGCAAAATGGGAAGACGCTCCAATGCTTGCATGTGGCTTTCTTTCAACCTCAGGAAACATGATGATCAAATTCATCCAAATTGGGCAGCATCTAAGTGAAAGGACAGTGGCTGGTGGATCTCACCGTCTAAGAGCATCCCACCCTATGGTAAAGGTGTCATCATGAGGACCTATGTGTGTCAAATGGGGAGTAAACCAGTCAGATGGTGCAAGGTCTGGCCAGCCCCACCTTGGGAAGCTCTCAGGAACCACTGGAGGAACAGGATCCTTACCAGGATGAGGATGTGAGTCAGGAGTCAAAGGGGTGAAATGAGCTTATGAGTTTTTGGGAACTGCAGACCTGTCCTTCTGCCTTTGACTCCCTGGTTGAGTCATGTAAAGAGTAGATCGAGGGGTCACACGACCCTGTTATGTGGTGTGTTCCACTTGACATCATGGAAGGAAAGAGCCCTGGATGGGGGCTCAGTGGAAACTTGTTCTCCTGGTGATCTGAGGAGTTGGCTCATGATGGAGCTTCAAGGGGCTGCCTTCCCACTGATTTCTGTGTTCTTTACTATTGCCTCAGAGGGTGTGCCTGACCACAGGTATTAGCGGGAGAATCTGGGGAGGACTAAAGAGTGCAGGAAGTTGTGCAGAGCAGGAGCAGTCTCAGCTGGAATGAAGGGAGAGGAAGATGAGGGACATGGAAGGAGCAGAGAGAGAGCCGGAAATGTCTAAGGCTGTGAGCAATGGGGGTTACAAGTGACTTTAAAGACTCCAGGCACCCGAAGCCCACGGCTTCCCCAGGGGCAGGACTAGAACAGCCTTGAAAACCTTATCATGGCTGAGAAGCCCCACAGTCATGTAACTCTCCTCTCAGAGTGGCCTTAGGGGCTGGTGGTCAGAGGGTTGGAACATGGATCTCAGCCCCTGGAGAGAGAGGGAACAAGTGTGGTCATAACCTCCTAGGCTTCTGCTTCCAGGTTCCAGTTTATGAAGAGAAAATGGATCGTTCATTCATTCCTTGACCATTCACTCCCTCCCTCCTTCATGAAAGAGCAATTGAGTTGTTGGGACCTGTGATAGTTGCAGGTGTAGAGTGGGCAGTGAGACAGCAAAGTCCTTTCCTTTATGCTCCAGTGGGAGGGACACCAACACATCAGGAAACAAATATGGGATTTCAAGTCCTGTGCAGGGAGGTTGGATTGGCCACCTGAGGGGGAGGCCTGGACATTCCTGGCACCGATTTTGATTGTTGATGCAGGTAATTTAGTCCTTGAGTAAAAACAGGTTAAATCTCCATTTCCTGTTACTCTCCAGACCAGAGACTCTACCTTGAGCTGTGGATCCCTAAAAAGAAAGGATCTGATCCAACAACTGATCTTAGAGTCCATAGATGCCTAATAAGGCCCCTGGGGTAGTGGAGAGGTTGAGGCTGTGGCTGCGCAAAGATCTTGCTGTGACTCTGATCTGCTGTTCATGGTCTGTGTGACCCTGATTCAGTGACTGTTTATCACTGTGCCTCAGTTTCCCCTGAATAAAATCAGGTAAATGGTCTCTGGATTGCCATGTTGTCTGTGAATTAACCTTAAAACATCCCCAAATACCTGACCTAAAGCTTACTATGTATGATCTGCCCAAATAAACGGTATTCAAGAGAGCTCCTTGGTCCTGATCCATGGTGGATGAGGAGCTGCCCAGAGCATGTTTGGTTCTCTGTTCTTTCCTGGGGGTGGTGACCATCTTGTGGAGGTCCCTGTACCTCCAGGGCAGTTGGCTAATGGCCTGGAGACCTTATCAATCTATGCTCTCCATGCTAAGTCTCAGGTGAAGGATCAGGCTCTGCCCTGATGAAGATGTGGCTCTTAGGGCGGAGCCTTGGCTGGTGTCCAGCTCAGGAGCCTTGACTTGGGCAGCCAGGAAATCATTGCTCCCAGTCATCCCTGCCCAGGAGGCCAAAGTCTAACCCTGGCACAGGGTCCCCGGGGTCACTGGAGTCAGGAGTCCTCGGACAGCGTTCTGAGCAGAGGCTTCACGGGCCTGAGCTTCTCTATGAGAATCCCAGGGGGCCCATCAGGCTAGGCCCAGACTGAGCTGTGCAGGGTCTTAGGGTCATGTTCACGGGGAGGTGCCCATGGGACTGGACTGAGACTGATCTCCCTCTGCTAAGTTACTCCCATCAGACTGGTCCTTCTCTCTGCAGGGAATTTCTGTAAGGGCTGGATTCTGGGAAGGGTATTCTGATCTTTTGAGGTTCATGTCCACTGTGTATATCCTGCCCTAAATGCTCAAACCCCAACATGAGATATAATGCAGAGGGGGATGTAGGCACAGTCCAGGCCTGCCAATACTGTGTATGTGAAGTAGAATTCACCCCACCCAACACCCAGAGGTCAGAGAGGAATCACTCACGGTATACGCGGAGCTGTACAGTTCCCACTGCATTGTTAAAATCTTGGTCTATGGCTTGTAGGGTGTAGTATCCTGTGTCACTCCGGGTGACGTTCTGGAACAGCAGAGATCCATTGTGGTATGTTGTCTCTCGACCACTATATAGAAGCCATGGGGTATTTTCTTGTGTTTCTATCACATATATTACAATTTGTTGATCGGGATCTATTCCTTCCCCTTTCAGCCAGACATAGCCTAAAAGATTCTCAGGCAGATTGTGGACAAGTAGAAGAACATCCGTTCCTTCAAGAGCATCTGTCGGCACCGATTCAATAGTGAGTTGGGCAGTGGTGGGTGGGTTCCAGAAGGTTAATAGTGAGACTGGGAGAGAAGAGAGAGAGATCAATTAATATTTGGACCTATGTATTGGAATGGAAAGATGTGTCCGTGGGTCTTGAGCAGGTCTCTTCACCTCTTAGACTTGGAGTGTGTGCCTGTTTGTGTCTCCCACTGGTCAAGGTCACCAGCATCACCACCGTTACTTCAGCCCCTCTGAACTTATTTCCTCTGTTCCCATTAGTCTTCCCCAGGTGTCTGCCTAGCTCCCTGCCTCCCTGCCCTCAGTGCCCTACTCACTCTCAGGGGCATCCTTGGGAGATGCCTTTCCTACCACCTACTGAAAGACCCCCTGTCTTCACTTTCTGACTTTTCCCTGCTCTGTTCCCTGCGTGACACTTGTTAGTCCCTGACATAACATTCTAGATCTCTTTGCTTCTCTCTCCTCATCCCCACAGAATGTGAGTTCCTGAGGGCAGGGACTTGTCTGATCTTGTTGTTCCCCCAGTGCCTGGAACAGACTGCAAACACCTGTGGATGTATGAATGAGTGTTCCCAGGGCCCTCCATTTTGTGGTGTTTATTTGTCAGTTTCTGAGGTTTATTAGTGAAGACAATGTTTAGTGCCCCTGGTTATGTTTTTTTAGGAAGTGTCACTCTGATATAGTTATCTTATTTTCAAAATGTAACCTGAAAAAATACAGCAAGTGAGGTTTTCCTGCCCCTCACCAATTCCAGTTCACTAAGATTTTTCTGTTGCTGAGCCCTCTCCAGTCATCCTACTCACCTCCCATGTTCCCTCCCCTCAGGTCCAAACAGATGTCCTCTGTCTCCTCTCAGAGCCTCGTCCTCCCCAGGAGACCCCAGCTGGTCTCTGTCCTCCCATCCTCCCACCCACACCAGGGAATCATCCCCTCTTACCTGCCAGCAGAAGCCCCTGCCGGGGGATGTGCCCTCTGTGGGCAGGGGCTGATGGGTGCTCCATGGTATCTGCTGCCTGCTCTGTCCCTCCCTTTGTGAGAAGAGCTTGGGCTCCAGAAACTCTCACAAACACTTCTGTCCAGATGCTTCAGCTCTGCTGTCGTTCCTCCCTCTGTGCTGAGCCTCCTCCAGGGGCAGGGATGCCTAACGGGTCATATGCACTGGGGGTGTTGTCTCTGCTCGGGTCCCTCCCTCTCCTCCTTTCATTCCAGCCTCCCTAGTCTCCTCCTTCTACATTTTGGTTTCCTGGCAACTGTGGAGGCCTCTCCTTGTTTAGTTGTGATTCATCCCATAAATACACACACACGCACACACACACACACCCTTGTTTGGACAAACAGAAACCTGGGGATTGGTCTCCTGGGCAGTCCCCACAACTCTGGCTCAGGGTGCATAGTCAGTCTCCACTGCAGCCCTTTCTCTCACGTTTGACTTATCCCTTCAGAGCAGGAGTTCTTGGGCTACATCAGGAACTCCTGTCACAAGGATGTCACCCTTGCTCTGTGTCAGAATCACCTGTGGAAATTTGTAAGGACTGTGAATGCCTAGGTGACAAAAGAAATGCTACTTTAGCAGCTGCCCAGGTTTATGGCTACCCAGGAAGGCTGAGACCCCATTTTGTGGGGGTGGGACAGCCTCTCCCATTCTTCTGTTCAGAGTCAGGAGATTCTGTTAAAATGCAGATTCTGACCCAGCAGGTGTGGAGTAGACCCGAGTCTGCATCTAACAAGCTCTCAGGTGATGCTGATCACACTGGCCTGTGGAGCACTTTCAATAGCAAGGCTGATGGGGACCCCTGTGTCCTCAGAGGACAGCCCACCTGGCCCCAGCACTGGCCTGGCTGTGTCCTGGGTTTGGTGTCTTTCAGCACCCCACAGAAGCTCAGAGGTTTCCAAACCCAGAGGATTATCTCTTTTGACAGAGAAACTGAACTGGGCACCAGGGTCTTCCCAGTGTCCTCAGATGCTCTGGGAAGGTTGGATTTACTCCCAACGGGATGGTCACAGAGATGACTAGGGGTGAGAAAGGGGCAAGCTGAGTGATGACTGGTGAGGTGACACCAGCCTGGCCTCTGATTCCAGGACAGACAACCAGTACCTGGTGTCTCAGGAGCTGCAATTCTCAGGTCTGAAGGGGGAGGTTTCCTGCATGTCCCGGGTGAGAGGATGGGGGTCATGGGAGATCAGCTGGCTGTGGGATCCATGGTCCTCCAGGAAGGCTTCAGGGAGATCACACACCTCTCCATGTCTGTTGGCTGAGTTGTTGCTCAGATTCTGTCCATGTGCTCCCTGACCATCCTGGGGGCCTCTGTCCCCTGCCTGGCTGACTTTCCTATGCTCACCTGCCTTCCTCATGGGTAGTGCCAGACAGGGAGTGGGGACCTGCACAGGGACCCCTGACAGGGCAGGGTGCTCTGAGGACCCTGGAAGGAGTGGGCCAGACAGAGCAGGCATGTCTGAGGGGCCCAGAAATGTCTGTTAAAGGGAGGGATGGAAATCAGGCTCCTTCTCTACCTCTTCAGCCAAAGCCACATTCATGTGTTAATTTCCTGTGTGTTGTCTCTGTGTCCCAAGGTCGCCCCCTGGAGGGCATGAGGAGACCTGCGTCCAATGTCAGGGGCTGCACCAGGGATGCTGACCAGGCTTCAGATGGTGTGAGCGGACCCTGAGCCCTGGACAGAGGTGGGCTCTGACTTCTAGGCTGAGAGGCTGGTAACTTTGGGTCCTGTGCTTTGGGAATACCAGGCTGCCTGATTCCATCTCAGTGCAGGGTAAGCCCAGGGAGAGGACAGAGTTGATCCACAGGTTTCCTAATCTAGTGTCAGAAGAATTGTTCCCCAGGGGATATGCTATCTCAGGATGAGCTCTCTGTTCCTGAGATGTCTTGGTGGGGTATGTCTTGAAGCTTTTGGGAGAGGACACCGGCCTGGGGGCTGGACCCCAGAATGTCCTGTTTCCTCCATCATAGCACAGGGGTGTTGCATCTAGTCAACTGTGTCCCTGTGTGTCATCTGCTCTAGGCCTCACCCCAAGGCCCAGGAGCTGGAGCAGCTCCACCTGGAGACTCAGACAGGGGATCCCGTGGGGTCCTCTGTTAGGAGAGGGGAGGACCCCATGGGACCCTCCGCCCCTGTGTGATAAAAGCAAATGCAGATCCTGGTCCTCCTGTTCTGTCCTGGATGGGAAGTTCCTCTCATTGCCCGGGTTACCTTGAGCTGGTGAGATGCCTTCATGGGACCACAGCCAGCTGTCCCTTCAGACTAGGGATCCTGGAGATGGGGAGTCACCCCCTGATTCTTTTGAGCTTAGAGTGGTGCTCCCTCCTCTCCTCGTGGTAAGTCTACCTGATATTGAGAATTCAGAGTTTGTAACATGTCAAGTCTCTGTGAGAAGAGGAAACACACAGGCCACTGACTCAGGTTCTCCAGAGAGAGAAGTCACTCACAAGGTAGAGATGGGGAGTGGGTGCGATTTTCTGGGAGTGAATAGGGATTTGACTCCTCACTTTTAGGAGGCCCCTGTCCTCCTGACTTTACAAGGGGAAAGGCCCATCCTTGAGACACCCCTGTTGGCATCCTCCCATGCTGATACCAGTCCCCTTGTGTCTATACAGAATGTGCTCTGACCCCCAGGTGTCACACAGGGATGACAGGCTTCTGTTGTCTTGTTTCCTTCATCTATTTAATGAGTATTTTCTGAGCATCTGTGATGTGTCAGGCCTTGGTCTGAGCCCTGGGAACTCCACAGAGAAGAGGATACATGTGGATCCTGGGATCACAGAGTTTACCTTGTAATGGGGAGATAGGTACTCAGAGAAAATCATGAATTAATGAGTTAAAAGTAGTTGAGAGAAGGGCTGCAAAGGGACAATTTCTGCTCCATCCAGAGCATGTAATAGAGTCTCAGGAGGTCTGGGGATGACTGAGAGCACCCCTGAGAAAGTGACCTTTTGGCTGAGACCTGAAGTGTGAGTGGATGTTCACCCAGTGAAGGATGAAGGGTGTGGAGGGAAGAGCTGCCTACAGAGGGACCAGCCTTTAACGGGGCAGACACCTGGCTGGATGGAGGGGCTGACAGAGTCCAGTGTGTGGAGCTTGGAGCGTGAGGAGGATAGTGGACTGAGTGAAGCTGGTGAGGGACAGATCCTGCTGGGCTGTGGGTGATGCTGAAGGCGATCAGCAGCCCCCTGGGGAAGCTTCTGGATGCTGAGTAGCTCTCCCTCCCTCTACTGGATGAGGAGGGAAGTGTAGAAGGCAGAGGCCCCATGCCATGCAGCTCTGCCTGTCAATCCATAGACATTTTACATGGGTCACATGTCATGTTAATACTCCTTCATATTCCTTTCTGTGAGTCCCAATTACTGTTGCCATAAGTTCATTAGCCTTGCCTCTTCCCACAGTGCATGTCACCAAACTCAGAATCGTGGGAATATATATCAGTTTGTGTTTGTCTCCATTAGTTAACCATGCATGCCCCTGGGTGAAGCGATGTGTGTGGTTGGAGCACTGGCTGGTGGTTCTATGGGGAGAAGGAGGAACAGAGAACTAGGTGTGTCAGGAGGGGAAGGTCTGTGTTAGGGGAGTTGAGAGAGAAGGATGGACAAGTCAGCTTCCCTTCTCACTCCCAGGGCCTGGTGACCAAACAAGAACACTGATTCTGGGAACACACAGCACCACACACCCCTCTGTGTCCCTGGGTCAAGTGAGGTGGGAGCTGCTTCCTCTCCTGTTTATTAGGACCTGTGCCTAATGTGCGCCCTGTGCCCATGGCTTAACTCTTAACTGTTAAGTCCACATTGATCCGGGATTGTTGTTGGCAATCTCTGTCAATATCAGCTGTGAATGGAGAAGGCCTTGTCCTGAGATGGTTCACATACACAGTCCCACGCAGCAGCCAGGCTCGACCCTCACAGTGCCTGTTTGTTTCTCTTCATGTCTCTCCATTCCTGGGGTTTCTTTCTTGTACCACCTTCTCCCTGGGCCCCTGTGGACAGCCTCAGCCAGTAGCCTCACTGGCTCCCATTCCAGGCATCTGCTTCTGTGCTTGCTGCTCCCTCACACTCTCTGGGCCTCACTAGCCTCTCATTTGTTCTGTCCTCTGACCCCTGTGAGGGAAGAAGGAGGAAGCTGAGATTGGCCCTCTCCAAGGTTTTGCACTTTGTGGGTAGCTTGAGCGTGAGGAATCTTGAAGTGTCAATGGAATCATTATTGCGTCTCCCAGTGGAGGCATTCCTCTTTTTGGAACTAAGACCTCTAAGCCAGTAGAGCATAATGTCATGTAGACGGGAAGCAGAAATTTTGCTAGTGTATAGGTATAGAGAGTGGTGTCACTCTCATTTTCACTCCTTGATTCCTGGACCTGAGAATGCCGGGAATGGGAGAAACAGCACCACATGTTGGACACAGCTTCAGAGCATGTGCTGGAGTATGTTCCCCCAGCCCTGCAAGGTATTGCCACCTAGCTGGTGCTGTAAGTGAGTTTCCAAAAGGCCATTCCACTTTTCTATCAAGCCAACTGCTTCAGGATGGTAAGACTGGTGGATTCCATGAGAATGGGCCCATTGCTGCATTTCATTTGCTATGAAGTGAGTCCCTTGATTAGAAGCAATGCTGTGTGGAATACCATGATGGAGGATAAGGCATTCTGTGAGTTCATGAATGGTAATTTTGGCAGAAGCGTTATGTACAGGGAAGGCAAATCTGTGTCCAGAATAAGTGCCTATTCTAATAAGAACAAAATACTGCCTTTCCCACAACAGAAGTAATCAGCCTGCATCAAGTAGCTGGCGGATCACTCCAGGGGAATGATGCCTTATTGGGGGATCAGTGTTGGTCTCTGACCTAGAAGACTGGACACTCAGCGGTGGCCGTAGCTAGGTCGTCCTGGGTGGAAGTCCATGTTGCTGAGCCCGTGCATAACCTCCATCCCTGCCACCATGGCTACTTTGTTCATGAGCCACCAGGCAATGACAGGAGTGAGTGGGGAAAGTGGCTGACTGGTGTCCACTGAACAGCTCCTCCCGTCTACTTAATTATTAAAATCCTTCCCTGCTGAGGTGAATGATGAGCATTCTGAGTTGTTTGTCCACATACTTCTTCCCCAGATCTTCTTGTCACCAGTTTTCCAATCAAGTTCTTTCCAAGTCCTGAGCATCCAGCCAAATCACTGGCCACAGCCCATGAATTGGCGTATAATCACACACCTGGCCATTTTTCCTTCCTAGCAAAATAATCACCCAGGTGCACTGCCCGAGGTTCTGCCCACTGAGAAAATTTCCCTTCATCGCTGTCCTTCAGGGGAGTCCCCTAGTGGGACTGTAGTGCTGCAGCTGTCCACTTTCACATGATGCCTGCGTATCCCACAGAACCATCTGTAAACCAGGCCTGAGTCATCTTTTCTTCCATCAGCTGGCTGTAGGGAACTGGGAGAGAGAAGACAGTGTAGCAGAAGTGGGGCCATGAGCATTTGGGCCACTTCTTCATGTAACCTGCTTGTACCTTCAGAGCCTGCTCAGGCTGGATCATGTATATACCCCTTCCATTTGATGATGGAGTACTGCTGTGCACTCCCAGCTTTATGGCTTAATGTGTCAGACAACACCTGGTTCATTTTGGAACTAGTGTCAGTTCAGAGCCTGTGTCCAGTAAGCCCCAAAAGGTCTGATTATTTCCTTTTTCCCAATGAATATGCAGCTCAGGTTGCACGATAATTGGGTGGCCCATGGTCAAGCACTCAGTCTCTACTAAGTTCCAGTAGCAAGCCAAAGGCTAATTCTCAAAAGGAGAGTAGGTATCTTGAGAGGAGAGCAAGGCTTTGCTCCAACATCCTAAGGACCTGCCCTGTGATTCACTTATGTGGGCCTGCCAAAGGCTCCAAACACCAACCCTATCTGCCACTGACACCTCAAGCTAAATTGGATCTGCTGAATTATATGGCCCAAATGGCAGAGCAGCTTTCACAGAGCCTGGTCCTGTTGCAGTGCCTTCTCTTCTCCTGGGTATCACTTAAAACTAGTAGCTTTTTGGGTCACTTGGTAAATAGGCCAGAGTAGCACACCCAAATAAGGAATATGTTGCCTCAAAATCCAAAGAGGCCCACTAGGCATTGTGTCTCTTGTAGGTCAAAGGAGAGACCAGATGCAACAATTTATTCTTCACCTTAGAAGAGATATCTTGATATGCCCCTCATCCCTGGACGCCTAGAAATTTCGCTGAGGTAGCTTGTCGCTGAAATTTTGTCAATTTTTCTCCCAGATTCTGACATGCAAATGTCTTACCTATGAGTCTAGAGTTCTGGCTACTTCTTGCTCACTGGGTCCAATCGCCATGGTATCACCAGTGTGATGTCTTGTGGAAGGGAAAGGCTATCAAGATCTTTACAAACCAAATTACGACACAGGCTGGAGAGTTGGTAGACCTCTGAGATAGGATGAGGAAGGTGTATTCTGGTCTTTCCAGCTGAAAGCAAACTGCTTCCAGTGGGTCTTTAGTAATAGGTTTGGAGAAAAATGTATTTGCCAGATTAATAGCTGCATACTAGGTACCAGGGAATGTGTTAATTTGCTCAAGCAATGGAACCACATCTGGTACAGCAGCTGCAATAGGAGTTGTCACGTGGTTAAGCTTATGACAATGCACTGTCATTCTCTAAGATCCATCTGTCTTCTGCCAAATAGTAGGATTGAATGGAGATGTGATGGGAATCACCACCTCTGCATCCCTCAAGTTCTCAGTGGAAGCACTAATCTCTGTAGTCCCTCCAGGAATGTGGTATTGCTATTGGCTTACTGTTTTCCTGGGTAGAGGCAGATCTAGTGGCTTCCGCTTGATATTTCCCATCATAATAGCCCCATTCCACAGATCAGGGAACCAACGTGGGGATTCTGCCAGCTGTTGAGTATATCTATTCCAATCATACATTCGAAAACTTGGAATACAACTACAGACTGTGTTTGGGGACCCACTGGACCTACTGTGAGATGACTCTGAGCTGAAACTCCTTTGACATCCTGACCTCCAATAAATCCCTACTCTGACTGGTGGGCCACCGTGACATTTTGGGTCTCTTGCAATTAGTGACAGTTCTGAGCCTGTGTCCAGCAGTCCCCTGAAGTCTGATTATTTCCTTCTCCTCAATGCACAATCATCCTGGCAAAAGGCCATAGGTCTCTTGAAGGAAGGCTGGGAGAAAGATTAGCAGTATACATTTTGGCAATATAGTGGGATCCTTCATCAAGAAGATCTGGCCTCCCAATTACTCAAATGGTTCTGAGTCTGTAAACTAGCTCAAGTCTGGGAATTGATTGAGGGGCTGTAACACTGTTTCTATAACTCAAGTCTGACTTTTGTTCACTTGACCTAGAATTTTTCTGCTTATACAATCAGGTAAGAATTTAGTAGCTTTCCCATCCATTTCATTTCTAGGAACACCATGATCACCTAGCCAATGTCATTGGTCTCTGTGAGTCAGACTATTCTGATTGCTGCTTTGACTCTGCTGTCCAGTATAGTGACCATGGTCCACCTTGCCTTTGGTGATTAAGTGCCATTTCTTGGCCCTGCTACCAGTTACCCCCATTGAGTTTAGGTTTCCCAATTCAGTGGCAGCAGTTACCCTTCTAATTTCTGACCTACAGATAAGAGCCATCACAGAGCCACTCAAGGATACTGGGGCTCCCTTACAAACTTGTATCTCACAGTCATGGTGAAAGCGTGTCCTCAGGACTCTCCTAAAGTTGATGGGCAAGTCTTAAATGATAAATACACACCAACATTCCAATATCTCTAAGCTTTTTATCTTTTCCTCTATTTCCGAGTGAATGGTCTGTTCTATAATGCAGAGACTTCATGGTTCTGGCAGGTTATACAGACACAGATGTAAAACTTAGTAGTGACCTGGTGAGTTGAGTGGAGAGGACTTGGAGGTATTTTTCTCTGAGAATTCCTTGGGGTGTCTCAGGTCATGGAACCCCAGAAGAGGGAGAGAATACCCCACACAGAGGCCCAGGCTCCTAGAGTGGCTGAGGGTAGTGAGCCAGCTGAGGAATTGCCCATGGACATGGCCTTCTGGTCAGTCTGGAGAGTCCTATCTCTTGGGGTGTCTGTTTCCTTGGGAATGTTCCTTGCCTTAGGGGGAGTGTGAGGTCCTTCGTTCCGAGGCTTTGAACTTGAAGGGAACTTGGGCCTAAGTGGAAAAAATCCCAGTGTAAGGAGGTAGGCTATGGAGCAGTTGGGTGTCCTTGGAGCCCTAACTGCCAGCTGCTCCCTGGGCTCACGGGATGGATTTGGGGGAAGTGCTGGGTGTCTGGGGTTGCCTTGGTTAAAGGTCTATGGAAAAGTTATCCTCTTAGATGAGTGCAGAAGAACGTCATGGAAGGGAAATGACAGATGAGGATGAGAGGGGAGACTCATTTGCTGATGAGAGGAGGCCCTCTGCCTCCCCTCAAGTAGAAGAGGAAAGAGACAGAGGGGACCCTGGTCTGAAGAAGGGCCCCAATACCCCACAGATTTATGGGAACAGAAGACACTGAAGGATTTCATGTGAGGGTCAGCCCAGCCTAGACCCCAGTCATGATGCCCATGATGGTTCCAGCAGGGAAAAAGGTGCTGAGGTTCCTTGGGCAGGTCCTTGTGTGGGGAAGGAGCAGGGAGAAGGAACTCGGCAGTGTTTCTACTTATAGGAGACTCACCTCTACCCCAACAGATGGGACCAATGTCTTCTCAGCATAGCTCTGCCTGGGTGGTGCACACTGGGAAACAATGTCAATTCTCCTGGGGACTGGGATTATCTTTCCAGCAAAGGCATATCTATCATTTTGTGTAAGGATGGTGGTCACTCTCCTCCTTGGCTCCATGCTTGAGGTACTTGAGGACATTTGTGGGTGAAGTGAGTCTAGCAATTCCTGAGTGTGTGTCTGGTGTGTGGTATGTGGTGTGTGTGGCTCTGAGTGAGACAGACACCTTTGCGTGTTCTGCTGTCGCCCTCTAGTGGACATGAGGTGATGCTTACCCTCTGTCAGGCTTGGGACCAGACATCTGACCAGAGTTCAGATTAGTGCTCTGGTCACCGACCTCTGGCCAGAGAAGGACTCTGACCTCTCACCCACAGGGACAGTCAGTGTAGGACTCTCACTACCCTGGGTTTATCCTGCAGCACAGTAGAACCCTGGTAGGACTGAATGGACCACATTCCCCTGGCTGTACACTTCAAAATGGTGAATTTTAGCTTATGTGAATTTTATCTCAAAAGAAACAATATATTTAGGAGAGGAACCTACACCTTATCTTGTATAAAACCGGCACCAATGCATCACTGGGAGTGCATGTGAATGTCCATTTCTTCACGTTCACAGCACTCCCGTATTAATTATATGGGAGCAGAAGGAGGTGTCACCCAGTTATCCACTTTCTTTCCCTTATTCATTCTCTAAACATCTGTATAGCCATTTACCTGTTTCTGGTCCTTGTGTAGGAGTGATGGGGCCACTGAGAGCCACAACTAATCACAATGGGAACTCAGGGATCCATAGGACACATGTAACTGTTCCTGAGCGTGTTGTCACAGCACAAAGGGAGAGAGTCAGAGGAAGGAGTTCAGAGGCGGCCCATTGTGTCCACTGGTGGAGGTTGGGACTTTGTGACAAAATGTCCAATTAGGTTGGCTGTAAAAAAGGGGAAGAAGCAGGGGCTGGCCCCATGGCTGAGTGGTTAAGTTCGCGCACTCCGCTGCAGGCAGCCCAGTGTTTCGTTGGTTCGAATCCTGGGCGCGGACATGGCACTGCTCATCAAACCACGCTGAGGCAGCGTCCCACATACCACAACTAGAAGGACTCACAACGAAGAATATACAGCTATGTACCGGGGGGCTTTGGGGAGAAAAAGGACAAAAATAAAATCTTTAAAAAAAAAAAAAAGGGGAAGAAGCAAGTTCATGGAGAAAGGGGAGAGGGCATCCCAAGTGGGGACATTGTGCGATACAGGGAGGCAGGAGCAAGTCTTGATGGACCAAGGGTTATGAGGGGCATTGTATGTGGAAATGGGATGACAAGGAGTAAGTGAGAGGAAGATTATGGTGGAAGGTGACAGAAAAACCGACAGTGGCATTTTGGAAGAGTTGATGGGTTTTATGGGTGTCTTTTTGCCAGAACCTGAGTTGAAGTGGGTAGGAGGTCTCAGGACACTGGGGGAGGGGGCTGAGAAGAAGTTACGCCCACGATGAGTCCATAAACTATGATTACTCCTTCCTTGCTCATATTTGTGTGGACATCAGCTGGTCCCATTTTCTGTTTTCCTGTCCATACCTGTGTTTGCAAAGAGAAAGAGGCTGGGAGCTGTCCATGGTATGAAGACAGCCCAGCGCTCTCCTGGCTGTTCAGGAGCTCTTGTGATTTCATTGTTTCCTGTTAATATCATCCCTACCACATTCCACCACCTCAACTGATCTTGCTCAGGAAATAGAGATGGGAGTTGGAATAATTTAAACATAATATCTTCCCTGTGTGCCCCAGGAAACAATGGGTCTGGAGTTTCAGGTGAATTTCTGCTAAGGGAAAATTCCCATGAGCATAAGAAAAAGCACATGAGGTGAAGGGTCCTCTTTATTCACATCCTTTCCAGGTGATTCCCTGTGGGTCACAGACATGTTCACTTTGTCTTGGAAGGCCGCTGCTCAGCCATCTACTCCCTAAGGAGAAGACAAAATAGCCTGGAAACAAGTAATAAAGAGTAAGAAGTTTTTCTCAGCTAGGTATGGCACTACCTGCTCTCCCCACCCCACGAACATTTGGAAATGTGTGCATGTGTCTGTGTGTGTGTATTGGAGGGAGTATTTTGACTCTATCAGTGACTTGATAGGCATTTCAAGACTAAGAATGTGAGAGATAAATGTGGTGAGAGCCTCGAGACTGTCTCACACAACACGGAATTTCCCACTCAAATGCCTATTGCAGCTCCTCAGAAGAAATGAATCAATTGATTTTATTTTTCCTTATAGCCCATGTCCTCAACTGACATGGTATATATTTATTTACTTGCTGATCTTCTGTCTCCACACCTTTTAGAAAGTGAGCTCCATGAGAGGTGTGACCTAACTTTTTTTTACAGCTTTATATTCTGACCTATAATGATGGGAACTCGTGAGATTCATGTTTGAACAGTATTTAAAGATGCTTTGGATGCAAAGAAGAGAAGAAGCAAAGTGTCCCATGGACCTCTTACCTGGTTTCTGATCTTTTCTATTATACCCCACATATAAGTTTGTATTTATTTAAATGGCCTTGGGCCACATGTTAGGTCTTTCTCTCATTTGTTTTTCGTTCATCATTATCTTCTTTTGGATTTAACCTTTAAAACAATATTTAGCCTAGATCAAGTGTTATCAGCTTTATTGAGTTTTCCTCCCAGAGATATTTGGCGATGTCTGGAGATATTTTTTTTGTTGTTCAGGACTTACGGGTCAACGATTGTTACCCATTGGATTGAGGCAAGCAATGTTGGTAAAATACTGCAATGCACAGGACAATCCTCTACAACCAAGAATGATCTGGTCCAAAATGTGCATAGTTCCATAGCTGAAAATCCTTTTGCAGATAAATATCTTCCTATATGAGTTTTAACAAGAAAGAATATGACAATCTCCATGATAATAAAGCAGCCTCTGAATATTTTATGTGAGAACAAATCCATGTCTACAAACTGGCCAAATGGGAGAGGTGGAGAAGGAAGCCTGCCTTCCTGGCAAGTCTGCTTCCTGGGGAGAAGCCAGGAAGGAGTGGGTGGGCAGGCGGGAGACAAGGGTTTCTATAGGAGCAATATCTCTCCAGTGTGGAAAGCAGGACAGTTCATGTCCAAAGGGTTCCTGCCTGGCCTCCTCCTGCATCCCCACAGAAGCCTTGGGCCTCCAGCATTTTGGAAGAGAGGGGCCAGAAGACCCATGGTGGCCACTGGCTCCTTGATGGCTGAGCCAGAAACCTGGGGGCAACTTGAATCACAGAAGTAGAAGAGGCTGAGGCAACTGAGATCTGAGTTGGAATGGGGGTGACAGGGACACAGGCTACTTCTTGTGAGTATGATGCCCTTGGGTTTGGCAAAAATGGAGGCTGAAGTATTGACAGGGGTAGGGAGGGCAGGGTTGGGAGGTTTTGTAGCCCTGTCTCATCTGGGACTACAGGAGGCCCACAATCTTCTGTTGGTCAGGCCGCAACGTGGATTCAATATAGGGGGAAAAGTGTATCTGCAGCAGGGGCAGAGCATGATGGTCAGGACTTGGGATCTTATCATTCCAAACAAAATTCTTTGCTTAGTTGGCTCCACAGGAGAAGGACAGTGCTTCTGGCAGCTTGGCAGCCCTGTCCATGGGACTGGTGGAAGTGGCCTGAGGTGTTCAGTGACCCATGTTGGTGAGACAAAGAGCCCAACAGTGTGAAAGCAGTTGGGATTTGAGTCTCCAAAGGTACCTGGAGGACCCCCACTCTTAGGGGTTACCCAACAGGTGAGTGTCTTCAGTGGAAAATGGGCCCCACTGGTGGCCCCTGCTATAGGCAGAGGTAGGGCCCAAGGCCCTGGAGTTGGAGTCCTCATCCAGCTGAGGATTTGGATCTTGGGCTGGTGCTGTCCCTACAGCAGGGGCTCAGCAGACTGAGACAGTTGTATATCTGGCTCTGTCTTATCTTACAGAGAAATAGAGGCTTTTGTTCAGAGTTCTCACCTTGGCACAAGGAAGGGACCATCCTGGTTCTCTTCTAGGGCTTAATTTCGCCCTGGTTCTGTCTCCTGCTCTCACTGCCCTGCTCTCAAAGAGCAGTTCCTTGTCAAACCTCGTTGTCAAACCTCGTTGTCTGAGGCCTCAGCACAGTGCCCCTAGTACTGGAGTCTGGGCTCTCCTTGATGTTGGAGGACTTGAAGTGCTGGGTACCTATGTGGGAATAGAAAAGAGCCCCTCTGCACTCAGAAGAGTGATCTTGAGGTCCTGGGGCCCCAAACCTCTCTGCAGTGCCCAGTAGACCAAACGCATACACCTCAGGTAACTCTTGTAGACCTGAAGAGGGCTAGGTATTTGAATCAGGGCCCCTGCCTCATAAATTGCCTCCAAGCCCAGATGGCCAGCATGTGGGGGAAGTTGCGGGTCCCAGTACTGGGGCATCTTGGCAGGTGGTCGTGACTCTGGGAGGGACCTATGCTCACCCTGGGTGCACTGGGCACAGGGTGGGCTTGAATGCTCACACACAGTGGTTCTGAAGGAGAGGGTGGAGGAGTGGGTGCCTGTGAGCAGGCATTCAGCTTCCAGAGGCTCCCCAAATTCAGACATGGCCTGAGTGAGTCATGCAGGATTCTGGTGACACTGGGCATCGCAGCTGTAGGATGCTTCTTGGGACTCTGGTGCCAGCACCCTGTGGATATGTGACAAAGTGGATGTCTTGAGCTCAGAGGCAGTGCAGAGGGCACCTCTGCTGTCTTGAGAACCAGGGACACTCAGGCCTCGGCTCTCCACAGCTGGTCACAGGTAGTTGGATCTGGGAGAGGGTTCAGGAGCTGCCTCTAGTCTTGTATTTGAGATGTGAAGGAAGAAAGGATAATTTCTACCAGGTCATGAAAATTGTAGATAGGCAGCTGCTTCATGATGGTGGAGAACACATACTGACCGAAAGGCATTCCATTTGACATAGTGAAAACGATAATGCACTGGAATGCTCTTTTAAGGACAAAGAGATAACTTAGTTTTATCAGTAACTGTGATGCCTGTTTTATTCTTCTAGTTCATTGTTAATGTCACTTTCTTAGTTTACCTCTTAAGGAAATGGTGAAAGCCAACCAAGATTCATGTTTCAGCACAGGAATGTGGATTTTATGTGGACTGTCATAGCATTTTAAGCTTTCATGTTTTATGAATGAAGGACAGAAATAAAGGTTGCTAATTTAAGAATCAAATCCAAGATAGACAAGAGAATCTGCCCAGAGTGTGAGAGGTGGATAGGTGAGTGGTGAGGACAACAGAAAGACCCTCCTCCCCTAATGAGGGACCATCCAGGGCTCCTATGCTTCAGGGAGGAGCCCCAGGTTTGAGGGCAGGGTGCCGTTAGCCCATAGGTGATGGGAATAAGATCCCAAACTGGCCAGTCTCCGAGAAAGTCCATTTTCAGGTATAGGTTCACATCTCACTCGCCAGTCACCTGCCTGGATGGGAACATTGGGTACTCCTCTCCTGCGGATCCTCAGTCCTGTTCTTCTCTGAGGGAGCCCCCTCAATCTACAGGGCATCACCCACCCTGCACTGAGGGCCTTGGATGTGTAAATGGGCCAGGTGGAACCACAGGCATTCCTGGACTTAGGGACAACCCTGAGAGAGGGATGACGGCCATTCCTTGGAGTCTGGAGGCTGGGAAGTTGCTGGCTGAAGAGGACAGAACCTACAGGGGCTGGTGTAGGCATGGAGGGTGGGGGATGTCTCAGTGCTTTGGGGCTCTCACCTCTAGCATGATTCACCCTGGGCTTATGTTCCCCATGAGCAGATGTGCTGGAGTACATCTTTCTGGGGTTATAGTGGAACCTCATGTGGAGAGAAATCTTGGCCTGCATGTACCCCTCTATTGTTGGGTCTGAGCCCAGGAGTTCCCTCTCCCTACAGAAGACTCATGTCTCTGATTCACACGCTGCCTTCAGGGAGATGCCACCCAGGTGGGCTGAGGTGGGGTGGGGTCTGTAGATGTGGGTGGAACCACCCTGGAGACTGTTTCTTCACTCAGAGGGTGCACCTTGTCTCAGTGTCTCAGCTTGAGACCTGTGCTCTCCAAACACTTATCCCACCTCTGACCAGGACAATGCAGGCAGATTGCATTGGGTCAATTGCATTTCATCTCTGTGTTATTATCCACGTGGGTGTCCTCCAGTCTGTTCCCATTGTCCATGTCAGAGTCCAGGCACCATCTACACCTACCTCTGGAGGAGGAATAGGACTGTGGTTCCTAACAGCTTATCACGTGCTCCCACCCCTCATCCCATGACCGCTACCCATCCTTCCACTGTGGAGATGATGCAACTGAGAGCAACAAGAGCTGGGATTTGGAGTGGAATGTGACCTTGAGCGAACAATAATGACAATGTCAGTTCACATTTTTGAAGAGTTATTGACTCAAATATTTCACCTTTTCCCATTGCCTATTCACAACAGCTCTGTAAATAAAGTACATCATGAGCATTAATTTACAGATAAGAAGAAAATTCTATTTACAGTTTAACAACACGTAGGAGGGGAAGAGGGTCACTCATATATAACAGTCAGCCTGTTGGGGTCACTTTTACTGGAACTGACTGGGTTGGAGACCTCACAGTGATAATCCCCAGCATCTTTCCTCCTGACAGGGTGTATGGTGAGGGTGCTACTGTCCTGGGACAGCTCCATCCTCTCTGTGAGATGCGGCCTCTGGTTACTGAAGAATCAGTGGATAGAGATCCCAGTGTCATTTGCGAGGCATGTCAGGACCATGGTGTTCAGTGACTGTGGTGTTGCTGGCTTGGATGGAGGGCTGTGCCACTGGGTCTGTAGAGAAACAGAGGGGTGACTGACAGAGTGGGCCTCATTCCTTCCTTAGAGATCTCTGCCACTCACAGGGCCATAGTGAGTTCTGTAAATGTGACCCAGAAATGGTCCTGACCCTCAGTAGGAAGACGAGTGTCTCTGTTCAGGTGATGGTCTGTAAGGAGCTGGCTGCACCTCCCCCTTTGACTGCCATATCATCCCAGGTTGACCCCTGATTAGTCCCCATGGACATCTCTGTAATTTCAGCACCAGGAACCTCTTCTCATCCCACATGCCCTACAATGTCATCATCAGATGAAATTTTTCTTTCATGAACTTTCATTGATTTCCCCCCAGAGCTTTCTTTGGCTTCAAAAAGGATCAGGCCACATTCCTTATATACACTTCTGTATGTGTTGGAGAAGGCAGGCTTGCCAGCCGTGTCCATCTCTGGGGCCAAGGGAAGGTTACATATAGTGGGAAGTCATTTACTTCTTGTTAACTAATTTGTTAAGGAAGGAGGATGCCCGACCATTCAGTCTTCACAACCTTAGGACCTGGAGAGCTTCTAATCTAAAGGATTTCTCACTCTGAAGAGGACTTTTACTTCCTGGCTTGTGGATTGAATATCACAGGGAAGCAATTCTCTAGAGAGAAGTGGTTACAGTTTTAACAAAAGACAGGCACTGTTAGGAATAGAAGGAAACTACTCAATGTAACAAAAGTAATAAATGAAAAGCCCACAGCTAACATAATACTCAATGGGGAAACACTGAAAACTTTTCTCTAGGATCATGAAGAAGACAAGGATGCTGCTTTCACCACTTCTATTCAACATAGTACAGGAGTCCTAGCCAAAACAATTAGGCAAGAAGAAGAAATAAAAGTCATCCAAATTGGAAAGGAAGAGAAAAATTAGCTTTTAGAAGATATAATCTTATTTGTGGAAACCATAAAGGATTCCTTCCCCATACAAAAAGAATGTTAGAACTAGTAAACAAATTCAGCAAAGTTGTAGGAAACAAAATCAACACTCAAAATCAATTACATTTATATGCAATAACAATGAACAACCCCAAAAAGAAATTAAGAATACAATTCCAAGTACAACAGCATGAAAAAGAATAAAATACTTAGGCATCAAATAACCAAGGAGGTAAAAGATGTGTACACTGAAAACTACTAAACATTTTGAAAGAAAGTAAAGCAGACAGAAATAAATGAAAACACCCATGTTCATGCATGGGAAGGATTAATTTTGTTAAGATGTCAATATACTCCAAACTATTTACATATTGAATAAAATTCCTATAAAAATCCCAATGACTTTTTTTTTCCAGAAATAGAAAACTCCAACCTAAAATTCATATGGAATCTCAAGGGACTCTGAATAATTAAAACAACCTTTAAAAAGAAGAACAAAGTTGGAGGAATCACACTTCCAATTTTAAAACTTACCACAGAGCTAAAGAATCAAAATAGTGTGGCACTGGCATAAGACAGATAGACAGTACTGATCATGGAACACAACAGAGAACCAGAAATAAAGCCTCAATTATAGGATCAGATGATTTCAACCAGGAAGCCAAGACCATTCAATGGAGAAAGGTTAGTCTTTTCAACAAATGGTGTTAAAAATGAATATCCACATGCAGAAGAATGAAGCTGGACCGTTGCCTTACACCATATACAAAAATTAACTCAAAATGGATCAAATCCTAAAGTAAGATGTAAAACTGTAAGACTCTTAGAGGTAAATATGGGGGGAATGTTTCATGACATTGTATTTGGCAATTTCTTGAATATGACAGTAAACATAGGCAAAAAAGAATAGATAAATTGGACTTTGTTAAAATAAAAAAACTTCTGTTCATCAAAAGACACAATCAAAAGAGTAAAAGGTAACCTACGGAATTGGAGAAAATAATTTGCAAATTATTTATCAATATGGTGTTAATATCCAGAATACACAAAGAACTCCTAAACTCAACAACAACAACAACAAAACCAAATAACCTGATTGAAAAATGGGCAAAGCACTTGAATAGACATTCAAATCAACACTACAGTGAGATACTCACTCAGATCTATTAGAATGACCACTGTCAAAAAAACAGAAAACAACAGGTGCTGGAGATGATGTGGGAAATTGGAACCCTTGTGCATTGTTGGAGGGAAAGTAAAATGGTGCAGCTACTGTGGAAAATGGTATGGCGATTATGAAAAAAGTTTTGCATAGGAATACCATGTGACATTACTTGCAGGTTCTGACTGCTGATGGACCATGTGTAGGTGGTGTTCTGAGTCTCAGGGTCACATTAACACTACAGGGACCTCATGCTCCATGGGATTGAAGTTGCTGCTTATAGTACAGGTGTGGGTACCTGTACTATGCAGGTAACAGAGAACATTGCCCTGTGTGGTACCTTGATTCCTCCCAGGCATCTTCAATCAGAGTTGTCATCTCTCACCTCTCAGCCAACCCAAGTCCTTAAAAGAATAAGGCAGGTTTGTGTATCTCAAGACAAATGCATGAGGATCAGAGCGCTCAGAGAACATAAGGCCACCTGCTGTAGGTCTGGGGAAAAAGCACAGACTTTCTCAAGTGTCACTATGTGCTGGCTGCAGGTGTAGAGTCGGGAGTGAGAAGGCAAAGTCTTTCCTTTATACTCCAGTGGGTGTGACACCAACACATCAGGAAACAAATAATTGTCTCCACTGTGTGTGTTCTGCACCAAATGCTCCAACCACATGTGACATAATGCAGAGGGGGATGTAGGCACAGTCCAGGCCTGTCAGTCCTGTGTGTGTGAGGTAGAATACACCCCACCCAAATCCAGAGGTCAGAGAGAAATCACTCACTGTATACGTGGAGCCGTCCAGTTCCTACTTCACTGTGAAAATTCTTCTTTATAACTTGTAGGGTGTAGTAACCTGTAATCCTTCTGGGAGACCTTCTGGAACAGCAGGGATCCATTGGGGTATCTTATCTTTTGACCACTGTATACGGGCCCTGGGGTAATTTCTTGTGTGTCAATTACATATAATGCAATTTGATGTTTGGACTCTACTCTGTCCCCTTTAAACCAGATATAGCCTATGAGATTATCTGTCAGACTGTGAACAAGCAGAAGAACAACTTTCCCTTTGGCAGTATTGGAAGGCACCAATTCAACAGTGAGTTGGCATTGGTGGGTAGGTTCCAGAAGGTTAAGAGTCAGCCTAGGAGGCAAGAGAGAGAGAGATCAATCAATATTTGGACCTATGTATTAGGAAGGAAAGATGAGGCCTAGGGTCCTGAGGAGGTCTTTTCATCTCTTAGACTTGGAGTGTGTGTCTGTGTGTGCGCCTCCTTCTGGTCAAAGTCAGCAGCATGACAACCATTACTTTATTTATTTCCCCTCTGAATTTATTTCCTCTGTTCCCATTACTCTTCCCCAGGCATCAGCCCAGCTTACTCCCTCACTTCCCTCAGCACTCTGCTCACTCTCAGGGGTATCCTTGGGAGATGCCTTCCCTGCCCACTTGCTCTAAAGAGCCTTTGTCTTCACTTTCTGACCTTTCCCTGCTCTGTTACCTTCCTGACACTTGTCAGTCCCTGCCATCACATTCTAGATCCCTTTGCATATCCCTCTTCTTCCCCATAGAATGTGACCCTCATCAAGGCAGATACTTGTGTCATATCATTGTGCCTGGAACAGGCTGTAAACACCTGTGGATGAAAGAGGGTCTGGTGCCTGAGGAAGAGCTGCTGGTCCTGGGTGTGAAGGGGGAGGTTCTTGTGTCTCCTGGGTGAGAGGATGATGGTGGTGGGAGGTCAGGTGGCTATGGGCTATCTGGTTCTCGGGGGAAGGTTTCATGGAGACCTTCCCTCTCTGTGTGTTGGCTGAGTGGTGACTCAGAGCCTGTCTGTGTGCTCCTTGCCCATCCTGGGGCCTCTATCCTCTGCCTATCTGACTTTCCTGAGGTCATCCTTCGTTCCCCATGGGTTGTTCCAGGCAGGGAGTGGGGAGCTGCACAGGGGCACCTGAAAGAGGAGGGTGCTCTGAGGCCCCTAGAAGGGGTGAGTGGGAAAGTGTAGGAAGGAAGGAAGGACCCAGAAGGGTCTGTTTAACGGAGAGATGGAAATCAGGCTCCTTTTCCACCTCCTTGGTCAAAGCCAGGTTCATGTGTTAATTTCCAGCAAATTGTCTGTGTGTGTGTGTCCCAGTGACACCCCCATGGAGGGCATGAGGAGACTTGTAGCCAACGTCAGGGGCTGCACCACGGATGCTGACCAGGCTCCAGAGGGTGTGAGCTGGCACTGAGCCCTGGACACAGGTGAGTTCTGTTCTCTAGGCTGAGGGGTCCTTCATCCAGGGTCCTGTATCACTGTCAGTCCCCAGGCTGCCCAGCTCCATGACAGCTCAGGATGAGCTCAGGAGGAGGACAGGCATTGTCCAGTGGACTCCTGATCCAGTGTTCTGTGCTGCTTGGTGGATGTGCTGTCTCAGGAGGAGCTCACTGCCCTTGAGGCTTCAAGGAAAGGGCCAAATAATTGGTCACTTGAGGTCCCAAGGCACCCTGGGAGGTCTCAAGGCATGTGGGGTTGGTCCCCAGAATGGCCTGTGTTTCTCTCGTGATAGTGCTGGTGCGTTGCATCTGAGTCATCGGTGTTCCTGTCTGTGATCTGCTCTAGACCTCCTCACAGGGCCCAGGAGCTGGAGCTGCTCCATCTGGAGACTCAGCCAGGGGATCCTATAGGTTCCTCTGTTACTTGGGGGAGGCCCCGTGGGACCCTCAGCCCCTCTGAGATGGAAGCAAACACACATCCTGCTTCTCCCATCCCATCCTGCATGGGAAGTTTCCCTCATTCATTGGGATGCCTTGGGCTGGTGAGATGTCTTCAGGGGACCATAGCTAGCTGTCCTCACAGATGAAGGACTCTCAGGATGGGGTGTTGCTTCTGATTCTCTCCTAGTGGTAAGTCCACTTGGGGTTGAGGATCCAGATTTTGTGCCAGATCAGGTCTCTGTGAGAAGAGGAAGGACACAGTCTGTCAGCCCAGTCCCTCCTGGGAGAGTAATCACTTACAAGGTAGAGATGGGGAGAGGGTGTGATTTTCTTTGAATGAATGAGGACCCAACCCCTCGCTATTAGGAGGCCCCTTCCCCTTCTCCTGACTCTACAAGGGGTATAGGCCCATCCCTGAGACAGCTGTGGGCACTTGGTGGCCTCCTCTCATGCTGATGCCAGGGCCCCTGTGTCTACACAGAACATGCTCTAACCCCCAGGAGTCACACACGGGTGACAGGATTCCATCGTGAGGTTTCCCTCATCCATCTGATGAGTATTTACTGAGCATCCATGACATGTCAGATCCTGGTATGAGCCCTGGGAAGTTCGCAGAGAACAGAAAAGACATGGGGCTCTGGCTACAGAGTTTGCCCTGTGACAGGGAGACAGGCACTCAGAGAAAATCATGGAACTAAGGAGTTAATTCTAATCAAGAGAAGGACTGTGAAGGGAAAGCAGGTAATGGAGTCTCAAGTGGTCTGGGGATCACCAGAGCAGCCCTGAAAAAGTGACCTTTTGGCTAAGACCTGAAGCATGAATAGACATTCACCCCATGAAAGACAGACAGTGTGGATTAAGGAGCTGTCTGCAGAGGGATCAGCCTTCAGGTGGGCAAACACTCGGTTGGATGGAGGTGCGGACAGAGTCCAGCATGGGGAGCTTGGAGAGTGAGGAGAACAGTAGACCAGATAATGCTGGTGAGGGTCTGACCCTGCAGGGCTTTGGGTGATGCTGAGGGAGGTCAGCAGCCTCATGGGGAGACTCCAGGTTGTGAAGTAGCTCTGCCATCCTCTGGTGGACAAGGAAGAAGTGTAGAAGGAAAGGTCATTGTGCTAAGTAGTTTACATTCATAAATCTCAAGCATTTTTTAGGTGTTTACCAATAATATAAAAATTGAACCATGTCCCACTCTTAAATTTGCAATTGCTCTCATCCCACATCTCTTATGTACCCCAACAAGATTTCATCCAACTTAAGATTTGTGCTCTGATAGAAGGCCAAATTCTGTCTGCTTTATGGGTATCTACTTACAACACTTATGGCCCTGGGGCTGGGCTGGAGCATCTGCAAGTAAGAGAAAAGAGGAGTAACAGCCTGTGTCCTCCCTGAGCCAGAGTGTTCAGGCAGACTAGGCTTCATTCCCTCCTCTCCCCTGACCCTAATGACGTCAGACTAATGGGGCAGAGCCAGATGGAATCAGAAGTCCAGGGGCGTTTATTCACACCCCTGATGCACAAAGGATGTAGATGTGTAATTCTATGGGGAAGGCAGGGACAGTTAAGAGG